TTGTGAAGAGGAGCAAGAGAATGAACTACATTTTCTGGATGGCTTGCTAAGTAGGCGAGAAGATGGGTCACTTGGGAGAAGTGTGTATAGAAAAAGCACATTCACATGGCAGTACTCACTTCCTTAGTTACGTGCCCATGAAATATAAACAAATGTTGTTAAATGTCTTACGAGCAGGGTGAGAAAGATGTATGAGCATGACCTCTTGCAAAAGGAATTTGAATATATTCACGTCTCCTTGATGGAGATGGGCTATCCGAGTCTGTCTCTGTCTGGATTCAACGTAGAACTTGGCACCGAAGTGCACCAGTTCGAGTTGCCACCTTCCAAATACCACACAGATGTAGACAAGAAGATGAGTGAAGAGAATCAATACAGTCTGACAAGTATAAGAGTGAAACAGAATGGGTAATGGTAGAGAGGAATATGAAAGATTACAGAGACTGAATACATGTGCGCTGGCCATTGACAACGATTTTGAGCCATGTCACCTATTGTCTCTAGCCATTGATTCCTAGAGTCAGTCCCGAGGCCCCCAACCCTGGAGTCTGCATCTCCCTACCTGACTCAGTTTAACTGTCAAGGATTTCATGGATTGATGAGGCCATGTTTCTGTTTGGCCACCACTTACCCTTTTCCAACCTGCACCTATATCAACTAGTAATGCCCGTCGACGGTGGGGAGGCGATGGTTAGGCATGCGCACCACCTGACCTAGCCATCTCAATCTATGTAACTTTATAGCCTCGTCGATTGATTTTCCCTCTTTCCCCAACACTCTACGCCTAACGTCAACATTACTTACCTTGTGAAACCACCTAACGTGAGACAGAGATCGCAGACATCTATGATCTAAAGCAGTCAACCTTTTCATGTCTTCAACTCGTATTGGCCATGTTTTAGAGCCATAGAGAAGGACGGAGCGAACTCATGAGCAGTACACACGTCCCTTGGTTGGCTATCCGAGTAGTTTCATAAAGAAACATATGAAAACATCAGAGAGAAAACCTGAGAATCTGACTGCACGTAAAAAGCTTCTATTTATTAATTTACAATTTAATGGTGACTTATCTAGTGAGATTTTGTTCCATAGGCTATCCAGGAGCATACGAAGAACGTTTAACGCAGCATACCTACGCTTGTCATTCTCTAACCGACGAATGATTGGGACGCAAACGAAGGATAAGCTTGATAGTTTTGCTACATCTATGTGCATTTATCAATTTAACTGCACCTGCGGTGACAGATATGTTGGGCGTACTACTAGACAGATTAGCCAATGTGTTAGTGAACATCTCCAATCGTGGTTTGGCAGAGGACAGACAAAAACAATCCGTAGCTCAATTTTGTCACATTTAATTGATAGTGGTCATGTAGTGGAGAAAATGAGAGCTTTCAAAATGATTCATCATATTTCACCGAATCTTTCCAATAGACTTCGTATTCGTTTACTGCACACAGCTAAGACGATAGGCATTCGAACTACTAAACTTAAACTATGCATTCAAAAGAAGTTCGTACAGTCATTATCCCTCCCTTGTTCAATTAAGACATGATGACTTCTATACTACCTTTTACTTATATTTTCAACCCCTCTCTTATCATCCTTTAATCTTATCACATCTTCATTATAAACGAGTTTCATTTACTTCCCTTACAATTTAGCACTACTTAATCGGTTCATTTGTTTTTACCAGCCTTTATCGACTACTTCCACCTGAACAATTGTTTGTTTAATCATACTGTTTTTCATTACTCGTGTTATCATAGATTGCCTCACTTTTTCATCCTTATTATTGATAAGACCATTATTATTATTACTACTATTATCATTATTAACATTATGACTGATTGCACAATTTATATTTCACCATCTTATTATCCTATAGACAAAACACCATGATTGGTTTATATTTGAATTTTTATTTGTAAACTTATATACATTCGAGTTTAGCCTGATGAGATCTAATTGAAAACAGCAATATTGTTCGCTTAAATGTGTTGTTCTAAATTTTACTACGGGAATATTTAATATATATTTATGCTAAGTGTAGATCTCTTCATTAACTTACATCAGTTAGAGGAATCATTGAAGATCGGGAAAGACTCGAGAGTTGTTTCATTCAGTTTAAGGGCTCTGTCTCAGTGCCCACCATGGATCCCACCAAAGATCGAACCCGAGATGTTCAGGTACCGAGAGGAAGTCGCGTGAGTTAGTCCAGCCCACCAAGTTTGACATGAGGGTAAAAACTCATCGATATAATATTGGCTGGCTGGTTGGCAGTCGTACGAATTGACAGAAGTTAGAATTCATGGACTGGCGATTATTGGATTCCGTCTCAGTAGCTGGGTGTTCAACGAGTTTGTCTTGTAACCTGAAGATATCGGGTTCGATCGTTGGTGGGCTACTGCTCTCCATTAATCTTTACTGGACTACTTAAGAAAGACTTTGCTTTGTTGAGATGGGCACTAAAAGCCGTTAGTAGGGCAAGTGGGATATCGTTAAACCAACTGGTTAACACTATTGTGGATAGACATATTATGTCATGTAAGAAAGTAGCGAATACAATATTGTTGGACCCCGAGAATCCTCTCTATACGCAGCTGTCTCCTTGCATCTCATCTGGTAGAACTAGAAGCAGCTATAAGAGGCTATACGCTAGGATTACCAAGTACAAAAACTCCACAATACCATATCTGGCACAGCTGTTATGTGATGAGAAATCCGTTAGGTATGACACGATCAACTTACTGTGGCACTCTAACAAATATTCCCATTCGTTTTCGTTTTTCTTTCCTCGTTACTATTACACTGTTGTTCTTATCTTCTATTATACACCGATTTTGTACTTCATATCCTGTGGTGCATTGTTTAATATCTAAATGCAACGCTGTTCTTTTTTTATTTCTTTTTATCTATCTATTTTTTTGTTGTTGCTTTTTGATTTTAAAATCCTATAAAATTTATGAGGTATTTAGATGCAATATTTTGTAATGCACGCTGAAGATTCCATAACTGTACCGCAAATACTGTTTGGAATAAAGCTGTTATCATTATTATTAATTATTACTTATAATTCCCAAATGAGAGAAGAAAGAAACAGCTGTCCACTACACCCAGGCTTTCCAGTACTTCTCTAAGTGAAGTCAGTTTTTGATCGATCGATCTTGCAATCAATTAAACACCTACAAACGAACACTGAAAAGTTAGTCTAGCATACTCATTATTAACTAACTATTGGATGAACTTATCCGAAGTTCTAGTTTGAATTCTATGATTAGCGGGGGTCTACCAAGTTGACAGGATAGACCTTCATCACTCTAAAATTAGTATAGAAATCTGCACTCAACATAAAGGAAAAAAATTCCCATTGTCAACATCAATACTGAAAGTCATTCAGTTCTTCGATATGTATCAGAAACTTGGCGTTGCCTTCATGAAAAGCATTTCCAACAGCTTCCTGTAGACGTTTATCAAACAACTGCCGCCTTCTCTGGCTCCATATTGAAAGTCAAATCGTGGATTGGAAAGAATTCACAACATAAAACTGAGAACCTATTGCTCATAAAATATTCCGGCGAAAATGGAGATGGATGATCGGTCACATGCTGAGGAGACTATCGGGTGATATCGCTAAAGACGGATCATTGCCTCGAGTGGAACTACAACAGGAAATAACGAGTTGGATGGTTGATATGTAGTCACATGATGTCTGCTTTGTTTGGACAGTCTGATGTATTTTACTATGGGTATATTATCGTTATTCCTGTTGTGTACTCGTTGAATAGTTAATATTCCTGACGCGGAAAAAGGAAAATCAGAAGACCACCACGTTCACGATGATACTTGTATTTTCCAAACAAGGAAAAAAATGACTGTCACACAAGTGTGAGAGTGAAGGGTACGAAATGTGTGAACAAGTGTATATGAAAGTGTACAAAGCAAGAGTATATATGATATGACTAATATACATAAGCCAATAAGATAGACAGTAGTTTTTTTTATCATCATTGGATTCTTATTAGTTGTAATGTCATGTGATAACAAGGTCATACATTGTTTATCTAGTTAATGGACAGACAAAGCGTATTGTGAGTTATAATGAAATATCAATGTACACAGATCAAAATATATCAGACTGTCAAAACCAAAACACACATCATGTGACTGCATATCAATCCCATTATAACTCACAACATATCTTTGTCTGTCCATTAACCAAATAAACAGTGTATGACCTTTTGTCACATGGCATTCCAACCAATCAGAACCCAATGGTGATAAGAAAAACGCCTGTTTATCTTATTGGTTCGTGTATATTAGTCATTTTCATCTATACTCTTTAATTGTACAGTCAATACACTCTTTCACACCTTTTGTACTCTTAAGTACTTTTTCACTCACACTCTTGTATGACAGTTAATTCTCCCTTGTTGGAAAATACACGTATCTTTGTCAACGTGATGGTCGTCTTCTGATTTTCCCCTTTTCTCGTCAGGACAAATTAAGTACTCAGCAATAGCAGTCTGTACGTTATTGTCCGTTATATCTCACATTAGCGTATATTTATACTCGGTCACACCATAATATCGGCAACGACCCCATAACATATATTAGCAACGGATACATAACACAGTGGTGTTTTCGAAGATGACACGAAGGCGATGAGAGACTATGGGCAACAGTAAGAGGCCAGTTGATGTGATTAATGGTTAGAGAGGATCTCAGAGAATGTGACAAAATGGAGGCATGGTGTTGAAACTGTATGTTCCACTCGGAAGTCAAGAAAATAGCAATAACCATTCAAATAATACCAAGTTGGGTATGAGGACCAGGACCACTTCTCACTTACGACATTGGCGCTGGTCGTTGCATAATACTTCGGCAAGTTACAGAAGTTTGAAGTTTGATTTTTTTTTCTTTTGTGCTAAACGTTTCGTATTGTTTATCTGAATTTATTATCTTTAAATGTTTTATTCATTTATTTATTCTCTTTTTAGCTATTCTTTTATCTTACAATGACGATGATATCTATTTGTTCGATGTGAATCATCTCGATAAACCCTATCTGCACAAATACTCTGGTCATCGGAATATGCAGACAAGTCAGTAGAATTTTATTTTCTCTTTGTTTTTGTTTTCATTTGATTCTCCTGCAGGGTTAACATCTTTACAGACGACTGAGTCATCATTTCTTGTCATACTCTGGAACAGTTATTCCAAGGATCACTTGCATTTACATACAATTAGTTGGCGTTATTGAGGCTACAGCTACTGTGTGTTGGCGCCGTGGTGTGAGGTTGCGAGAAGCGGTTGGAGCTAATGATACTGCTTAACTGTCTTAGTGATTTATCGATTTGTTGTGGAATTGATTTTGAACTCATGATGCGCAACAATTGATAGTCGAATCACTAAGCGCACCAAAGTGGATATAATTGGTTGTAGGGTTTCATCATGAGCTGACATCAGTTAGAGGACGATTGAAAAACCAACAACAGGAAGTACTGGGCAGCTGTTTCGTAAGCCTAGTTTGAGACTCTACAGTAGTACGCATCCACCACAGGGGGGTCGAACCCCAGGACCTTCTGGTTATAAGACCATTCAGCAACCACTGAGACTCGATCCAATGTCAGCTCATGATGATTTCCTACCAACCAATCAAACTAAATCCCTACAATAGCCAATACTTTGAAATTCATCTGATGCTCACTACCGGCTGGCCGTATTCAGATAGGTAGTTACTTAAGGTTCTAGTGGGAATCCCTGACCAGTAGGTTGCAGCAGGTTGAAGGTGAGACAGTAACTCATCGAAGAAGACATTGCAAAGTGGTCGCGCTATGTCGTGAACTGGCAGAAGTTAGAATCCATGGGATAGCCATTGGATCTGGTCAGGTGCCAGTGACTGGTTATGAAGAGTCCCAAACTAGGCTGACGAAACAGCTGTTCAGTACTCCCTGGTTTTCCTGTAGTCCTCTAACTGATTTCAACTCATGATGATGAAATCCTCTAACCAGTAAAACTAAATCCCTACAAAAGCAATATTTAAAAGTGGGTATAAATCAGCCAGGGTTTTTAGACAACGCTAATGCGGCATGTAGTATGTTTGCATAGTTGAAAAGTTTAGATAATAAAAAGCGTAATATGAGTGGGTCTCTCTATTTTTATTTGCGTCACAATATAACGTCATGTTATTTGTCTATTTTTTTTTCTTCGGTGTGCATTTTTGAATTCTAAACTGTTAAGAAGTAATTTTAGATAGTGCTTGTTGTGTCGACTTCATTTATTTGGTTAGGAAATTACATCAGCCCCAAATGCATGGGGTCTGATCGATGACGACATCTCACTACGGATACAAAAGGTTCGTGGGACAGTCAGTAATTTATACCATCTCTGGCGTAGTTGGGACACTCAACTGTCGATCAAATAATGTGGATGCTGTACACCAATTCTGTTCGCATATGCCAGTTTACGCCATCTCCGACTTAGTAGACGTGTTATCCGGCTATCGACCAAAGGGCGGATGTACTGCTCAGTAGTCGGTCCTCCTTTATGGCTGTGAGACCTGGCCATTGAGTGTGGAAGACATGAAAAGATTAGCTGTCTTTGATCATAGTTGCCTGCGTTCTATCTCCCGTGTCAGGTGGTGGTGTAATAGAGTGAGCAATGTTGGGGTTAGGCGTCGAGTGCTAGGTAGCTGGGAGGGTAAATCAATCGACGAGGCTGTGAAACAGTTGCATCGATTGAGATGGTTAGGACATGTGTTACGTATGTCTAGCCATCGTCAGGCAATGTTAGCTGACTTAGGGTCAGGCTGGATTGCAGCTGGCAGCGGTCAAACCAAAACATGGCTTCATCACTCAGTGAAATCCACAACAGTTAGTTTAAGACAGTCACACAGGGAGATGTAGACTTCCTGACTGGTTGGGGTCCTCGGGAAGGTAAATACCAATGACGGCTGAAAGCAATTGGTGATATGGCTCAAAATTGTTCTCAATAGCTGTGGCAGATGCATCCACTCTTTGTGACTTATGATTTTCAATAAAACTATGATGTTTTTCGTTATTACTCTTCCTTTGTCTCATATCTCTGTTTACTGTCTCTATTATGCATTTCTTCTACTTTCTTTTCTTGTTTTGTGTGTTACAAGGAGGGAGTGTGGCGACTTGAACTGGTGCACATCGGTGCAAAGTTCTCTGTTGAAAACAGATAGACACCAGTTCCCTCCATCCTCCTCTATGGATGTGAGTGAGACATAACCTTTCAAAAGGCCAGGTAGCTGTTGTGTTTTTTTGTCATGGGTATCTGCCTTCTATCTTCCATGTTAGATGATGGTAAGTGTAATAGGTTGAGTAATATTAAGGTTACACTTCGATCGAATGTTAGATGACGTGGGAAAATCCAATCGATGTGATTGTAAATGTGAATCGACTAAGATGGTTAAACACATGTGTCATGTATTCTAAGCCATCAGTTTCTTTGATGGCTGATGTTATCTGACATGTCTGTCTGTCTGTCTGGATTCAACATAGAACTTGTCACCCAAGTGCAGAAGTTCGAGTTGCCACCTTCCAAATAGCACATAGAGGTAGACAAGAAGATGAGTGAAGAGAATCAATACAGTCTGACAAGTATAAGAGTGAAACAGAATGGGTAATGGTAGAAAGGAATATGAAAGATGTTTTTGTTTGGCCACCACTTACTCCTTTCCAACCGGCACCTATATCAGCTAGCAATGCCCGTCGGGGGAGGCGGTGGTTAGGCATGCGCAGCACCTGACCTAGCCATCTTAGTCTATGTAACTTTATAGCCGGGTCGATTGATTTTCCCTCTTTGCCCAACACTCTACGCCTAACGTGAGACAGAGATCGCAGACATCTATGATCGAAAGCAGTCAACCTTTTCATGTCTTCAACGCGTATTGGCCATGTTTCAGAGTCATAGAGAAGGACGGAGCGAACTGATGAGCAGTACACACGTCCCTTGGTTGATAACCGGACGTAGTTTCAGGTTGGTTGACATAGTATCAGGTTGGTAAAGAGTTGAAGGTGGTCTAGTAAAAGCATAAAATCAGTTCATAAAATACTTAACAATTAGTCTGAGCCATCCATGTATGAAGGTGTTAACTGTTTAGTTGATTGAAGTCATCAGGATTCTAAGAATCAGTGACTGGAGTTTATAAGGCGTATGGTTCAAAATTGCTCTTATTGACTCTTATTGACGCTGATGCATTCACTCTTCATGATCTGCCATATGCAACAGAACTCTCATATTGTTCCATATTACTATTCCCCCCTGTTTTGACAATGTGTTAATAGCTTGTTAGTCTTAGCATCAGGGTTGTATTTAGAATTAAGGTTAAGTCCATGGTTAGGAAAGGGGTAATTATTGTTAGGATTAAGGTTAGGCTTAGTGTTAAGTTTAGGGTTGAGGTTACCATTATGAATAGATTTAGAGTTGATGTCATTTATTTTAATTTGTTTTATTATTCATGTTTCCATGGAAAGTAGTCGTCAATCGTCTTACTGGAAACCATAGTGATTCAACCGAGTACTTTGGATAAGAGAGAAAAACAATTCAGTAAAACAGGTCATTCTTAGTCACCTCGGTGAATACATGCACAGAAACTAGTCTAAATTAGCAACTGATACTCCTTATTATAACGAAGGGAAGTATTTTTAAGCCATGTCAGAGAAAGATAACCTGTTTAGTGTGTTTTCGAACATTTTCTTGTCAATATGCATCGTTTTTTATGCAAAATTTCCTCATTTTTATGATTAGTTGGCTGAGGGTCACTCGTGTGTTCTCACTTCTGAGACGCTATTGTTGAACTTCGCCGTATGTCTCGTTGTATAATACCGGAAAAGAAGACTTGTATCGCGGTATTATTATTATTATTATCTTGGTTTCCCAGTGAAACATAAGACTTCAGTGGCACATATCAATTTTGTCCGGTTCTCTACAGTCCTCTTTAGCTGATTCCATGATTGCTTGTAAGATTTCATCCCCAATGGTTTTCTAACTAGTGTCGGTTCATGATGAAATCCTGTAAGAAATCAAAAGATATTCGTATATTTTTATGTACATTATTATTCGTTATTATTAGCAGAGAAACAGCGTCTTCTTATTGCTTGTTTTCTCGTTGAAAGTTATTCTGTCATCTCTTTGTGGCCGTTTCCTTGAAGGTCAGACTAGATATATGCGAATTGTATCCGCCCACGCTAAGTGTGCTGTGATTGGTTGTTGAGTCAGTTTTTGTTCCTGTTTTTTGCTCATGACTAAGATATGAGACGTAAACATTGACGTCAATTGCTGTCTACCGATTTTGGTTAGCAGACAGCTCTCATCACAACACCATTGTATAAGACTACACCAAAAATAAATTTTGTCCCTCTACGAACACCCAACTGCCCAAGTTCTATTCTTATATCAGACTGTATTTCTCTTTTCCTCTCTCTTGTATTGATTCACTAGTCGTTGGAGCTACATTTTTTGGACCAAATGGTGAATATGTTGTCTCTGGTAGTGATGATGGTTACTTTTATCTATGGGATAGAGAATCAGAAGGTTTAGTGCAATGGCTGCATGCAGACATCGGTGGTGCTGTCAATATTATTGAATCACATCCTACACTTCCAGTTTTAGCCTCAGCTGGATTGGATTATGACTTCAAGGTGAGCTATATTGGCCATATATATCCACACCAAGTTCACTTTTAACAGTTTGAAAACAAAAATTTGGACATTGGGTATATGATATTCATTATAATAAAGGCATTTTTTGTATTTCTCAATGAATGAATGAAAAAGACAAAACGATATTATTGCTTTTACTGACGTTTTGCTATTTCAAATGCTGCTGTTAATAGCTTTATCAAAGCAGTAATATTAAACCAGAAGAATTTACAAAATCCACTCAGCTTATATTATGCAACAACTTAATCATCGTTCCTCAGCATGGGGGCATTTTTGCGTTGTTGTCAAATTGGCCGATTGGTGTACAGATAACAAAACCAGGTGTAGATGACTGTTGGACTTGATAAGTGTATAAAATTATAAAAGCAGCATGTGTTTACATTGCGAAATTGCTTATCACATTCATGTTGATTTTGTCATTTCATGGATTGGGGAGGTGGGGGTGTTGTAAGCAGGTAAATTGTGTTTTAGTCCATCTTTCCTATTCAGATAATTTGGATTCCATTTGATCCCATGAAGTGCTTCTGATGATAAGAGACGTTCTTTTTGATTTCTGAAGCTTTTTTTGGATGATGATTTCAATATTGTCAAAATCGATTTCGCGACTTAATTCTATAGCGTAGTGTGTAGACCAACTATGACTGATGATCTCTCAAGCTTTTCTAGTTCAACTGGATTTCTTGGCAGTCGAAAAGACGGGCGATTTTACGGTGTTCCTATTTCTTCTGATTTTGATTTCTCTCGGTTGATGTTTGTCCAGTGTATATCGCATCACATTCCAAGCATTTTACTTTATAGACACAGCTAGGTAGAGAATCCTTGGGAATTTGGTCTTTCACACGGACAAAGTTGCCTTGTAGTGTGTGTGTGTAGGTGTATGTCTGATATTTCGAAGAAAAATGTATGTTTTGCTTATTGAGTAGTCTTCTAATATCTGTCATCTGACATTTCTGATCTATACAGATGACAACTGTTGAGGCTTATGTCTTCGGAATACGTGTTTTCGACCATGACTAATATTGGTGTGGATTTTATTGATGAAGTTCTTTGGGTAGTTATTTTTCTTGAGAATTTGAGTAATGTGTAATATTTCTTCTTCTTTTTCCTTCTCACTCATTATCGAAGAAGAAGACTTTAGACAACTGAAACTTCTGAACAAATGGGGGGGGATGTGATGTTCCGAAGTCTGAATATTTGTTGTTCAGTTTCAGCAATTTCATTATGTAAACACATACTGTCTTTTCAACTATTGGTTTGTCGGCATTTGATTGATTGGTTACGGGATTTCATCATGAGTCGATATCAGTTAGAGAACTATTGGAAAATCAACACCACAGTACTGAACAGCTGTTTCGCCAGTCCTAGTTTGCAACCCTTCAGCAGTGCACACTCGCCACACATGGTTCGATCCCAGCATCTTCTTGTTACAAGGCCTGCGATCTAGCTTGTAGACCATTAAGCAGTAACTGGCACCTGACCCGATCCTAAAGCTTAGCGTATAGACGATCTATGGCTGATGATTTTTTAAGCTCTTCTAGTTCAACTGGATGTCTCTGTGGCCGAAAAGAAGGGCGACTTTACGGTGTTCCCATTTCTTCTGATTTTGATTTCTCTCTGGTGAAGTTTGTCCAATGTATATCGCATTATATTCCAAGCATTTTATTTTATAGACACAATTAGGTAGAGAATCTTTAGGGATTTGGTACTATATATGGACAAGGTTGTTTCGCAGTGTGTCTGATGTTTTGAAATAGAACTCTGATGCCAAGCTTATTGAGTATTCTTCTGATATCGTCCGAGGTCTCCTCTCTGTATGGAATGACAACTGTTGAAGTCCATGTCTTTAGAAGACGTTTTCGATCATATATATATAAGCTGAGATTTTGTAAATTTTTCTGGTTTAATATTACCACTTTGATAAAGCAGTATCAAATAGCGAAATGCCAGTAAAAACAACAATATCGTTTTGTTTTTCATTTATTCATTGGGAAAATACAACAACTTTTATAATAATAAATACGTTGAATGTTATTTAATAATTCTCAGGTTAATTCAATCTAATCTTTTGCAGTTTCAAGCATCTACTTAACTTGAAAATAGTCTAGCTAGAATAACAAATGTTGAAGATTGTTTTTATGTGTTCTAAGTTAACCCTTGTCTCTTTCTCTGTATAGAAAGATTTGGTTTTAACCTTTCTATGGTGGTGATAGTTTCAACAAAACGTGGAAGATTAGGTTGATTATTTTGAACACCTTCAGACTGTTTACCATCATACGAGACCCCCCTCCATACTCCAGACACTGAACCATTGAAGTGGGTCGCAATGGCTGTGAATGATATACGAGCCAGGTTACCTTGTAACCGGAAGATACTGGCTTCTAACCCCAGTGAGTGCATACTGGCTGGGCCGATGATTCCTAAACTCTGATGAAATCAAACTCCAGTACTTCGGTGTTGATTTTCAATGGTTCTCCAAAACTGATATCAACTCGTGGTTAAATTCGAAAGATGACTAAACCAAATAACAGAGGTAATTGTACATCATCTACCCTGGCTGGTATCAAAACAAAGTTTACCAAAGAAAATTTAGTGTGATGACTGATTGTTTTTGAGCGTATAGAGGCGGTTCCAACTATCTAATTGCCAGGTAGGGCTTCCACAAACTTTAGGATACACCCTCCGCCAAACACGTTTTATAGATAAGTAAACGTCAATTTTATATTGTCTCTATAACATGTTTCGCAATAGAGGAACTAGATCTCCTGTTCTTACCATTAATGCGTTCCGACGATTCTATTTGCTTCTGGAGCCATTTAGAAGTATGCTGTGAAGCCAGCGCTTACTTGCAGAGATCGATTAGTCTTCCCTGTTTATATGTGCCCACACATGCATTTGAATTGGTAAATACAGTGGGTTGTGACATTATTTTTCTGATGTTCTTAGCGCTTCGATGGATATATCGGCTTCGCATTCTCAGTTATTACGATATTAGCTGCATTTAAAGTCTTTTTAACCACAGCAGCATTCAATCTTTGCCTAGTTATCAAGCTGCTGTGATGCCCCATATAGGGTAGCTTGATGTACACGTCTTTCTTAGCAGCGTGTTGGAGAGTGGGTCTTGTTGTTCTGACTACTTTATCTCTCCTGATGAACTTGTCTGGATAACTGTTATCAGCCAGAGTTTTTTGTGTCAACTTTCTTTCTTCTTCATCCAGTGTGTCTTCTCTGCTTATTTGTTAGATTCCACTGATGAGGTACCTTACTAAAGCTCTTTTATACAGAACAGGACAGAAACTGTGATAATTAAGATACTGTCCTGTCTAGATAGTTTTTCTATAAATAGATCGTTTTATTGATCCATCTGACCGTTGACTAAGCAATATGTCTAGAATAGGTAAACAAGTACCTTCCTCTTCTACAGACGTAACAATAGTAGCAGTACTATTCCAAAGGGATCGTGTGAATAGGCTCAACTGCTGGTCGATATCTGTCACTAGATGAAATTTGATTGATTGTGTAAGGCTGCTAACTTGTAGATAGTGTCAAAATTCACATAAAATTTTTATGGGCTAACTACTTTGTTTTAATACGTCTCAAAATTTTTTTGGATACCATTAATGTATTTCTTAGAAACTCTTCTTGACTTGAAAAACTGAAGTGTGTCTGTGTGCTTTTGGAAGTGTGTGGGCGGTTTTCACTTCCCGGCTGCCAACATCGTGGAAGTTGATTGATTCTTCGGGTACCTGAAACAGAGAGCGGGTTGGTGTTGCTTGACTGCAGAGCCCAGGGGGCAACTGCTTGATGCTGACCAGTCACACACGGCCTGTGTGAACTGGTTTCTTGGTTTGGTTCCGTATTACTGAACTTACCGCCGGTTACGGACCACCGTAGGTGAGGTGAGTCGGGATGCACAATTTTTTAGGTAGACCTTTTCTAACCCCCTCTCTCCGGAGTGGGGGACAGCATAGCTTGCTGGCATGCTGGTCATCGGAGGCAAACACCTCAATGCTGTTACACCCCTGTTCCCCAGTAGTACGACTTCGCCCACAGACCCCCAGCATAGTTTAAGAAAGATTCTTACACAATACCGGTAACTGCTTTTACTCTAATCGCTATCCTACCAACCTTCCTGACATAGTAGGACCTGCAAGAACATTGGTTCCAGCCAGTGCAACTTGTTGGGTCATCGCGATGTGCAAGTCCGACCACCACATCAATGTAGCAGCTATTGGTCGGGCTGTGGTGTGTACGGATTATGTTCTAGAACCTGTCTCGAATCAAATTCATCATTTTTTAAATTATACTATTTTGGAAACCGAGGGTATGAATGGATGGTAATCAAAATACAGCGCTACCATACACTGCTGATTACTCGATATGAGTATTCACAATATCACTAACGTATTGAACATTAGTGATCGTTAGCTGAACCACAAAGTGATCTAAACACTTTGCAACTGTATAATTTACAACTTGTAAATTTGATCCAATGTATTGCATTTTACTCAAATAACTAGACAAAATTGGCATAATTTGGAAGTGATTCCGGATCTGTCTCTCTGTAATCTGAGGCAAACTGACAACATCTCTGATGAGCTGACTTCTGAACTGGAAAGACGACGTTCTGGTGTGTGTGTGTGTGTGTGTGTATAGGTCAGTTCATATCAGTCAGTCAGTATGCAGTATCACCATGGTTTCTTATTTTAGCGGATAGTGAAGAGAACAGGTAAACTTTAGGCACCTAGCAGCCGCGGACACACTGATGACCTTGCAACTTCCAGTCAGAGCAAGGCGCGAAGAAAATTCTGCATGAAGTGGAATGATACTAAACATAACATGAGGCTAGTTTTAGGTGAAGTTAGACGAGTATTGCGGTTAGCTTTAGTCTAGGGATAGGTTAGGAGTCAACTTTAACCTAATCAGGGAGGTATTTAGGGGGTGAGCAGGTATCACAAGATCATTGGTGCATTCGCACCTCTTGAATACCTCTAAAATCTCTAGCTTTGTTAAATTTCGTTTCACAAACTAGCTGGGTTAGAGAACTGTTGAAAACCGCCAAGAGTACTGGACATCTGTTTTGCCGTAGTTTGGAACTCTTCAACAGTATTCACCCACCAGGTTTGAAATCGCATGAACTTCTCGGTACAAGGTGTGTCTGAAGGCTACCCAACCTCTAGAAGTCATGACTAACGGGGTCTACCAATCACTTATTTGGGAAGTACCATCAGCCAGTGCCAACGGGCTGATCTCTGACGAAATCTCAGCACGAATACAAGGGGCTCGTTTCGCATTTGTTAGTTTACGCCGACTCTGGCGTAGACGAGATGTTCGACTATCGACCAAAGGGCGGGTATACTGCTCATCAGTCCGCTCCGTCCTCCTGTATGGTTGTGAGACCTGACCACTGAGAGTGGAAGACATGAAAAGACTAGCTGTCTTTGATCATAGGTGCCTGCGTTCTATTTCCCGTGTAAAGTGGCATAATAAGGTGAGCAACATGGAGGTTAGGCGTAGAGTTCTAGGTAAGGAGGGGAAATCAATCGACGAAGTCGTGAAGCTACAAAGATTGAGATGGGTGGGACATGTGTTACGTATGCCAAGCCATCGCCTCCCTCGACAATGGGCAATGTTAGCGGATATAGGGTCAGGCTGGAAAAAAGCTAGCGTCGGTCAAACAAAAACTTGGCATCAGTCAATGAAATCCACAACAGTTGGTCTAAGCCACGTAGAAAGGTGTAGACTTCCAGGCTGGGGTCCTCGGGACGGTAAAAATCTATGGTTGGAAACAATTGGTGACATGGCTCAAAACCGTTCTCAGTGGCGCAGATGCATCCACTCCCTGTGACTTGTGATCTCCAATGAAACTGTTTTGTATTCCTTTATTACTCCTTTGTCTCACACCTCTGCTCACTGTTTCTATTATGCTTTTCTTGTACTTTCTTCTCTTGCTTCGCGTGCTACACGGAATGTGGCGACTTGAACTTCCGCACATTTGTGCAAAGTTCTATGTCGAAAACAGACAGACTACCAATCAGGTGGGAGAACGGTTAATCGCCTACGATATTGGCTGGCGTTTGCGTTACATTGTGGTATGTATGCATCACGAATTGGTTGAAGTTTAAAATTCACGTACCATTGAATTAAGTCCCAGTAACTCTGAATGCTCTAGGAACTTGTCGTGTAACTGGAGGGTAAAAAACTATTACTAGGACGAAACAGTTGCCCAGTACTCCCTGCAGGTTTTTCAATGATTCTCTAACCAATGTCAGCTCATGATGAAATCATGTAACCAATCAATGAAATCCCTAAAAACCAATACTTGAATATCAATGAGATGTTCACTAGCGACTTGCCCTATTTAGGTAGGTAGGTAGTTAGTTCCCTGGGGTTCTAGTGGAAAGTCGTGGACAGTAGGGTGCAGCAGGTCGGTTGTGAGGGCAAATACTCGTAGAAGATATTGGCTAGTGGTTGCGCTATGTCATGAATTGGCAGAAGGTAGAATTCATTAGCCATTGCATTGAGTCCCATTGGCTTGATGGTCTACGAGCTCGCCTTGTATACAGAAAGTTTCGGGTTCGAACCCTGTCGGTGAGTGCGTACTGCTAAGGAGTCCCAGACTAGGACGAAACAGTTGTCTTTTTGTGATTTCTCATTGATATACATATCAGATTGTGAATAAACTAATCCAGTCTCTTGAAAATCGATTTTTTTTAAATTGCTTATTGTCCTTCAGGAGAGAACATTTTGATTTCTTCCATGACTTCTTTTGCATCATTATTTTATTTGTTTTGTTTGTTTCTACAAAATATGCCTCTTGTTCTTCTTTCAGATATGGTCACCATTATGTCCGTTGTATGCTGAAGAAGATGAGGCATTTAGTCATTTAAAATACTCAACGACTAGAATCAATTCAGATGTTCTACGACTTCGTAAATCGAAGTTAGCCAAGGCATTTTTTCCAAATAATGATTTTATTAATAATACAACCACTAATAATAATAATAATACTGAGATGGAATCTCTTCGTAAATTACTATCAGATAAAACGAATGGAATTTCTATTTCAATAGACTCATTAACTTCTTCTTCGTCATCATCAGCGCCGTCGTCGTCGTCCTCCTCCTCATCATCATCATCCGCCTCCTCCACATCCTCTTCGTCATCTTCATCTCTATCAACTTCAGAGGAGGAGATGACATCCGCCTCTACAAATCATCATATTGATGAGTGTGATAATGTTAAAAATGCTAAGAATGAAAAACAGATAGCGCATGAATTTATAAATACTAGTACAGAGGAATATTCTGTTGATATGGGTTCTCCATCATTATCATCATCATCGTCTGCTGGTGTTACTGCGGCTGCTGCTGTTTATACTCTGAGTAAATCTCGTAAAAGACGACATCCAACTACGGATGTAATATTCAATGATGATATAGAAGCCGGTGATAATAATATTGCTCACCATGTTACTAATCATAATAATGTCGATTATTGTACTGAACAAAATGATGATATGCTACAGGTTGAGAATAATAATAGTAATAGTAATAATAATACAATAAAACAAGAGATGAATGGTATCACATCGGAGATAATAAATCCTCAAGAATTTCCTCCGCTTAGTAAACAACCGAAACGATCGTCTCCATCATCATCACAAGTGTTGCCAACATGTTCGACTTCAAATACAATTCATAATAATAATAATAATAATAGTGTTGAACAAGTCTCTAAAATTCACGAAAATGATGATAAGACTATCAAGGAGATGCCTAAGAAAACTGTAGGATATCAAGATAATAATAATAGTAAAAGTGGTGAATCACAGTCGTCGACCAGTGATAGAATTCAACCAAGGATACCACAATACTTGTTACCCTTTAATCAAATCGACTTACAATTGGTAAGTTGTGACTAGGAGACAGAGAGAGAGAGAGAAAAAAAGAAATTAAATGAGTAGTTTGTTGATTTTCTTCTTTTTCTTGTTTGTGTGTGTGTTAACATATCCTTTGATTTTATATTTTAGACTACAAGCAATAAGAAGACGTAATTTTGTCTGGCCGTCTGATTTTGAGTACTGAGCGAAGACAGCTGTTGATGAAGTTGTGTAGTTTGTTTGAAGTGGTCTTCATCACACGACAAGTCTCTGATCCATAAATCCGGATCTTATTTTTCATTCTGATTGCTGTTGATCTACACACAGACTTGAGAGAAATTTAAAGCTTGCTTTGCTTTCCCGATCCTTGATTTGATATCCTTGGCAGTTCCGTCTGTTTGACGGAGCTGAAAGGATGCTTCCTAGGTATCTGAAGGATGTCGATGTTTTCAGATTTCTCTCATTTACGCTGGCTGATTGTTGTCTGTTGTTGTTGGCCAGGAATCTTCATCACCTCTGTTTTCTCTATGTTCACCTGAAGTCCTTCCTATATTTAATGCTTCTTCTGCCAACTTGTTACTTTTCACTTGCATATCTTCGAGTTTGTGGGAAGTCAGACATATTATCATCGGCAAGGTACAGATCCTTAAAGTTTTTTGTGTGGGTCCATTTTATGCCTGTTTACTCGCTGTCTGTCGCATTATCCAGTCTACTGCAATCAAGAAAATAATTGGAGATAGTAGGCAGCCTTGTCGTACTCCCGTCTTCACTTCGAAAGATTCCGCGAGTTTTGCGTTGTGGACTACTTGGCATGCAGCATTGTTGTACAGCTGTGTGATGAAATGTATAAATGTCGGCGGCACTCCGTAGTAGCGAAGTAGTTGCCAAATCACCTCTCGATTAACGCCGCGCTGTCGAAGGCCTTTTCACAGTCAATGAAGTTAAGAAATAAAGCCGACTGCCATTCCGAGCTCTCTTCAATGATGATCCGTAGTGTTGCGATTTTATCAGTGCATGACTTATTTCTCCTGATTACAGCCTCTTCTAGTTGAAGTTTTCCATCCAGTGCGTGTTTGACCCTCTCTTTAATTGTTTATATATATATATATATTCTTTTATTTTTAATTTATATTTTCAGCGTGTTGGTCAGAATTGGGTTAATCGAGCCTGTGAACGTAGTCAATTAGAATGTTTAGATGATAGAAGTTTCCGTGTAAGTCTCAATGTCTTATTATTACTGTTATTATTATTAACAATAATATCTCTGTGGAGATGTAGTCTAATTGCTTATGAGCTCAGTTAATATCTAAGATTAACCATCAGCGTTCCAGTTCTGCTCTCGTCAGCTTCAACCTGAAGTCAACTAGGTGTTACCATTATGGCTTACATAATAAGTATGGCTTGTCTGTCTGTTTTCGACATAGAACTTTGCACCGATGTGCACCAGTTCAAGTCGACACACTCTTCGTGTAATACAAAGCAAGAGAAGAAAGTAGAAGAAATGCATAATATAGACAGTAAACAGAGGTGTGAGACAAAGGAGTAGTAATATTGAAGAACAATATAGTTTTATTGGAAATCATAAGTCACAAGGAGTGAATGCATCTTCGCTAGCCATTGGTGTTTACCGTCCTGAGGATCCCAGCAAGGAGGCCAGTCTATGTTTTTCTACGTGGTTGGCTGGCTTAAACTGACTATTGTGGATTTCATTGACTGATGAAGCCTTGTTTTGGTTTGACCGCCGCTAGCTGGCTCTTTTCCAGCCTGACCCTGTATCAGCTAACATTGACCTTCAGCGAGGAAGGCGATAACTAGGCATACGTAACACATGTCCTAACCATCTCAGTCGATGTAGCTTCACAATCTCGTCTGTTGATTTTCCCTCCCTGCTTGCCTAGCAGTAGACCGATGCCTAACCACCTCAATATTGCTCACCTTATTATACCACTTCACACAGGAAATAGAGCGCAGGCACTTATAATCAAAGACAGCTAATCTTTTCATGTCTTAATGGCCAGGTCTCACAGCCATAAAGGAGGACGGAGCGGACTGGTGAGCAGTATCCCTGCCCTTTGGTCGATAGCGGTGTAGCAACAGAAGACAAGGGCCAGGCAACAGATCGTTTTATTACGAAAATCAACGCGTATTTATATATATATATATATATATGTTTTATGCACATTAATAAGGCTTATGCAAGCAGAAAAAGGCAGTCTTCTAATTGGTTGTTTCTCGGAAGTTAAGCAGACAAACACAGTCTCCTGATTGGTTGTTTTCGATATTTCTCGGAAAGTAGAGCCATTTATCTGCGAATCATATTTGCCCACGTTTAAGTCTGCTGTGATTGGTTGTTGAATCAGCCTAGATTAATGTCTACTAATCAGCCTAGATTAATGTCTACCAATTGGCTAGCAGCCTGCTCTCACCACAGCGGGATATCACGTCTACATAGCGAGAGACGGTGTAAACTGGTGTATTCGAAACTAGCCCTCTGTATCCGTGCTGAGATTTCGTCAGAGATCAACCTGTTAGTGTTGGCTGGTGCAACTTCCCAAATAAGTGAAGCGGTCAACGTGCTCTGTTACTTCCCTCCCTATTTCTAAACTGGGAATCAGTGTAGTCCAGTTCTGTAGCCTCATCATCTTACATTTGACAGCATGAGCGAATCGTATACCGAACATTCGTAGATTGCAACTCAAGGTGTTCATCGAAAGAGTCTGCATTTTGTCAGCATCCTTGCCTGGTTATAGCCTGGTATATGAAAAATTTACTCATTATAATTGAGTTGAAACAATGGCATGACAAGATTTTATTTTTAATCATGAGCAGTAGACTTCAGTTGGGGAAACCATTGAAAGCCAGCAAGAAGGAATAGTGGACAGTTCCGGGATTCCAACCCAAGGCCATCCGGGCTACAACACGAACTTGTAGACCATTCAGCCATTAGGATGCCTCCAAAGCCTCAGGATGGTCGGGGGTGGGTGTCTTGCGCTGCGGGCTAGCCACCCCTCCGTACACCTCTTGAAATGCTCCCATATGACCGTATTGCCGGCCCTAAAAGACCGCAGGCCCCCTGTGAAGAAAAAGCGGGACATCACTCGTACCCAATTCCCATGAAACTTCATCAACTCTCTTACAAACATTCGAGATGTTCATGAAGCCGGTTCATCCTCCCGTAGGAGATAGCCGAACTAAAGAAGAAGAAGATGCACTCAAATAGCCTTTAAATTTCAACCTCAGCCAAATTCCTTATATCTATTAAACGGAACCGCTAACCAATGTTGTCAACGAGTAACTATTCTCTTATCTGACTTGGCGGCCCCTCTGGTGACGACTTCTCACCTAGATCTCCAGATAACTTCTTAACGTTAGTGAGCATCAGATTATTTAGATCACAAGGTGACATCCAGTGGTTGTCTAATTTGATGACAGATCAGTTTTAAATCTGTAACCAATCAAATCCCTACAGACCAACACTTGAATATATACAACAAGAACAAGTGTTATTGTTATTATTCTTTTGTGTTTTGAGTGGGGCATATACCTTGAACACCACATCTCCGCTTTGTCTTGCTCTCTCTCTCTCTACAATCACCTTTACCTGACTTCACGTTTGTCCATCATCTTTCATCTCCTTCATACACGATCTCTCACCTGTCACCCTTGAACACACGCTCAACTCGTCGTTTCCTGTTCGAGTTTCACTCAAACGATAATCTGGCATGCCATGCGTAATAACAGAAGACAAGGGTCAGGCAACAGATCGTTTATTGAAGAAATCAACAGATATTTATAGATTTTTATTTTCATTATTATAGGTTATTGTAAGCCCCAACGGGCTGATCTCTGACGAAATCTCAGCACGGATACAGGGGGCTCGTCTCGCATTTGCCAGTTTACGCCGACTCTGGCGTAGACGAGATATCCGGCTGGCTATCGACCAAAGGGCGGGTGTACTGCTCATCAGTCCGCTCCGTCCTCCTTTATGGCCAGCTGTGAGACCTGGCCACTGAGAGTGGAAGACATCAAAAGACTAGCTGGCTGTCTTTGATCATACGTGCCTGCGTTCTATCTCACGTGTGAAGTGGCATAATAAGGTGAGCAACATTGAGGTTAGGCGTAGAGTTCTAGGTAAACAGGGGAAATCAATCGACGAAATCGTGAAGCTACAAAGACTGGGATGGTTAGGACATGTGTTACGTATGCGAAGTCATCGCCTCCCTCGACGAGCTATGTTAGCGGATATAGGGTCAGGCTGGAAAAAAGCTAGCGGCGGTCAAACAAAAATTGGCATCAGTTCATTAAATCCACAACAGTTGGTTTAAGCCATGTAGGGAGGTGTAGACTTCCCGGCTGGGGTTCTCAGGACGGTAAAATCTATTGTTTGGAACAATTGGTTACATGGCTTAAAATCGTTCTCATTGGCCGGCGCAGATGCATCCACTCCTTGTGACTTATGATCTCCAATGAAACTGTTTTGTTTTTCTTTATTACTCCTTTGTCTCACACCTCTGCTCACTGTTTCTATTATGCTTTTCTTGTACTTTCTTCTCTTGCTTCGCGTGCTACACGGAATGTGGCGACTTGAACTTCCGCACATTTGTGCAAAGTTCTATGTCGAAAACAGACAGACAGACAGTAAGCAAACAAACACATTGTCTTCTAATTGGTGGTTTCTCGCTGAACGTTATTCTTTCATCTCTTTGTGGCCGTTTATTGAAGTTCAGTTCATCTCTCTGCAAATTGTATCCGCCTACGCAAAGTCTGCTTTGATTGGTTGTTGAGTTAGTTTTTGTTCTTGTTTTTTTCCTCACGATCAATATTTAGGACGCAAACATTGACGTAAATTACTGTCTGCCAATTTTTTTCTAGCAGCCAGCTCTCACCACAATGTCACCCGATGGTCTCTTCAACGTGTTTCTGATCCATCTTGAATTTCTTCGGGATATTCATTCATTCATTCCCAGAGTGTTGCTTGTTGCTAATTCTTTCTAACTGGCTATTTGATCCTCATTATGTGGAGTAAAGAAAGCTGTTGATGAAACTCTGCAGTAGGTCTGTTCGAAACACTTTTGGTGAGGTGTATAGTTATAAATGTATTTGCTTTACCCCTTTCCCGATCCTGACTTCGACATCCTTACCCGTGCTACTTGTAGTTGAAACGATGATGCGTAAATGTAAGTGTGAAAAAAGTAGACAGTTCATTTTATAAAAGATTGGCGTATTTGTAGACGGAGAAGATACAAGCTGCACAGGTATTGTGTAGCATAACCAATTATGATCAAAAAAGAGATTCTATGGATTGTAAGAAGAAGAATATTCTTGATTCTATAGGTACTTACTTCACATATAAATGGCGATATTCATGTAGTCCTGTGGAAAGTTATTCAAGTAATTAGTGAAAATCGGTCAAATATCACAAAGACATTGATGAAATTAGTCGAAAAAGAAAATAATCAATAAATATATGTGTTGTGTATCAGAACACTTTACAAAAACAAAATGGAACTTAATCTGGACTAGTTAGTGGTGAGAGGGACAGTAGTGACTACGCAGATGGTAACAGTGTGTAGTGAGAGCTGTCTGCGAACAAGCCAGAATTGTAAACAACAATTGACGTCAATGTTTTTACTTCCCGAATCGGAGTCATGAGAGAAAAAAACAAGAACAAAGCCTAACCTTGAGGAACTCAACAACCAATCACATCAGACTTAGCGTGGGCGGGTACGATTAGTAGATATATATCAACGGACTGTCTAAGAAACGACAGCAAACAGATGACAGAATAACCTTCAGCAGGAATACAACCAATCAGAAGACATCGCTTCTCTGCTAACAATAACACTAATAATAATGTACATAAAAATCTGTAAATATTTGTTGATTTTCTGAATAAACGATCTGTTTCCTGGTCACTGTCTCTCCTGTCGTTACAACAGTATCGTTTAGCACATGTATACAGAATTCAGATGGTTGCAACTATAGCGATTTGAAGTACATGCGAAGTGCTTTATCTATTCACTCTAACTTAAAAGATATTCCCCTGTGTTGATCTGGTATCCTGTCCTGCCCTATTCCTCTTCATTTCTTGTGTTCAAAGTGAAACATAGAACTTTAAGCTGTAGATTCGAAGTTCCAGTTGCAGACTAGCATTCAGTTTTAAGTGAATGAGATTGCTAGCCTCACACCTATTCTTCCTGCTTTTCCGAACGTACTGTTGGTTAGTAAACTAAGTGAAGCTTCGAAATGTATCATCCAGGAATTGAACCTATACCACATATGTGAATGGTGAACATTATGCTATTGAACCGTTGTCGCAAATTTATCAAGGGATCTAATTTTATAGAGAAAATGTAAATAGAATCTGTTTTTATGCATCGTTTATTTGAGTGCATTAGCACTGGCTTCATTTACTAACTCCTGTGATTTAGGGAATATTTTTTGTTGACTTGGAATATGTCGATGATATATAGACCTCCTAGGTGAAGACGCTGACAAAATGCAGAGATTACTGATGAACTCCTTGAAAAGAAATCATTGAATGTTTTAGAATGTGACTTTTTTCCTTTCAGATGTGAGATGGTTGTACATGACTGGACTATGTCGACTCATTTCTAGCTTAAAGATAAGGATTGAAGTGGTGACTGAGCGTGTTGACCACTTCGCTTCACTCCATGATCAACTTGTAAAAACAAATCTATTTCTTACAAATCAACTCTGGAAAATTAATCTGATGCTCTCTAGTGACTGACTCGCTACAGGACGGTATTTCGTGGAGTTGTAGTGAGAAGTCGTCGTGACCAGTGACGTCCATCCAGTCAAGTGTGTGTGTGTGAGGATCGATGTCCCACGTATGGCATTAGTTGATGGTCGCGCTAAATCACGAATTCGTAGAATTTATAATTCATGAGCTGGCTGTTGAATCGGACCAGGCGCCATTGGCTGAATGGTATACGAGGCAGCCTGCCTTTGCACCGATGTACAGTAGTTCGAGTTACCACACTCCCTCTTTGTGGCACACAAAGCAAGAGAAGAAGAAAGTAAAAAGAAATGCAAAATAGAGACAGTAACCAGAGATATGAGGCAAAAGAATAGTGACATGCAAGAAGAATATAGTTTCATTGAGTATTATAAGTCACAAAGAGTGAATACATCTCCCCCAGCCATTGAGGAGGAAGATTTTGAGCCATATCACCAATTGTCTCCAGCCTCCATTGGTCGTTACCGTCCCGAGGACTCTAACCAGGAAGGAAGTCTACATCTCCCCTGTGTGACTGTCTTAAACTAGCTGTTGTGGATTCCATTGACTGATGAAGTCATGTTTTAGTTTGACCGCCACTAGCTGGCTGTTTTACAGCCTGACCATATGTCAGCTAACATTGCCCGTTGTCGAGGAAGGCTATCGATGGCTAGACATGCATACATCACACATCATGTCCCAACTATCTCAGTCAATGTAGCTTCACAGCTTCGTTGATTAATTCACAAACTAGGCTGATGGAACAGCTATCCAGTACTCCCTACGGCTGGTTTTCAATGGTTCTCTAACTGATATCAATCCATGGTTAGACTCATAAAAATTTAAAAAAAACTATTCCTTACAAATCAACTATTGAAAGTTTGTTTTTTCTCTGCTACTATTTTCTTGTTCTTGTTCTTCCCCTCCAGATTCTAACAGCAATTGAATCAGTTGCTGAATTACGTCCAATAGGCGTAAACAATACGGACGATGATGATGATGATGATGACAGTGATTCAGATACAGATTCCAGTAGTAACAACAGCAGTTCTAGTGATTCAAACTATAACAACACCGCCGCCGCCGCCACCACCACCAACAACAACAGCAACCGCGCCAACGATGATGATGACGATGGCGACAACAATAATCACGTTAATGATAATTCTTGCAATGCTTTTGAATTTATTCAATCTGCTGTAGTTATGCTTGATGATCATTTTAATCTTCCAGTGAACAGACGAGGGACGACGACGACGACAAGGAGAAGGAGGAGCAGAAGAAGAAGAACACGAAGAAGAAATTACGATGATGATGATAATAATAATACTAACAATAATAATAGTAATATAGAACAAAGTGAAGAAACATTAGCTACTAGAGATCGTGAAGAAGGCTCAGGTGAACATAGTTCATCAGATGGTGATGATGACAATAATAATAATAGTAATAGTAATAATATTGCATCAAGAATATCCAGCTTTTTAGCTAATGAATTTAATTGCTCCTCAGATTCAGAGAGTACCTTCTCGTCATCATCCTCATCGTCGTCAAGCCCGTCAACATCAAATCGTTCATCACTATCCAGTAGTATGCTTACTGGTGTATCACTTTTAAGGCGAAAATTCTCATAACATGCGTGTCTGTGTGTGTGTGTGTGTGTGTAAATGTGAGAAATGAAAAGAGAGTCGGAAAGAATCTGATTATACGGTTTTGTGATGATTATTATTATTAGTAGTAGTAGTATTATTTTTGTGGTCTTTACCTGTTCTGTCTGAAGTTTTGTAATGCATTTTGTTTGTTTCTATTATTATTATTATTATTATTATTGGCAAGAATTCATCTCATTTTTATTCTACGGTTTCTTTTTTGTCTTTGGCGCATGTACAATTTGTGTGTGTGGGCGCGCGCGCGCTCCTTCACAGAGACACACACACAGTGACAATATTTCATGTATTCTTCCCTGGTTTGAGTAAATATCACCGCTAATCACATGAAATGGTCAGTTAGTTAGTTAGCTGGCTAGTTATCATTATTCCCACTACCAAGAATGATTAGGCAACTGAATATTATTATTATTATCACTATTACTATTACTAACCTTTGTAAATTATTCCATTTAATTCCATTATAACCATGTTAAAATTTGCACACTTCTTCGTCATGAATTCATTCTGTGTGTGTGTGTGCGTGTGGGTGTATGTGTACACGTTTCGTCGTCAGTGGAGTAAACTTAACGCCAAACACATTAGTACATATATATATATATATATATATATATATGTTCCAGGATTCGATCCCCTGTCGACAAACACCTGATATCAGTTGCCAATCCGCGAAATTTGAAGATATAATCAAAACTAATCTTTTTTTAAAACATAAATAAATAAATATGTGTATATTACCACTTTTACATAAAACCGATAGAGGAGGACACTTTTTAAACCTATTGAAGTGGGTGGGTAGGTGCGTGGGGATTTGTTTGTGTTGGCGTTTGTTTGTTTGTTTTGTTTTTTCATATAACTAATTGTCTCTCGCGCGCGCTCGCATTAATTTATTTTATTTTGCTTGCTTGTTTGTTTATCTTTTTGTATTTCATAAAAATACCATTTCATGATGATATTATTGATTTTTTTCTCGCCTTAAATTTTATTTTATTCCCTTTGCGTCCTTTTGAGTGGAGGCCTTCAGTAGCGCACATTGGTATTCTTATCTAATTATGCAGTAGAGTGTTTGATCGTTGGTAGCACACTCTTCAATCTATCTTGTCTTCTTTTCGGATTTACAGTCGACTAGATAAGGTAAAGGTGTACATATATATATGTATATATGTGCACCGGTTGGGAGTCGAACTCTGGATCATATGAGGCTTGAGTGGCACGCGTGAGCATTCTACTGTTGAAACCATCGATTGACTCACGGAGGTTAAAGATTATATGATAAAAAAAATAATAAATAATGATAGTAGCGATAGTAGTAATAATAATGTTAATATTAATGACGACACCAACAATAAGGAATCTAAATTATCAGTAGTAATTCCATACAGGGAAGGAACCTCAGAAACCACCTTACGCTGAATTCTTAACAAGGCGCGCAGGAATAAAAGAGGCTGGCATTCAAACCACCCACAAACTCAATTACAAACAAGCTTTGTCTGTTAAAGGGTCAATCCTGTGGAGCCTATAAAACAAAACAATTTGGTTTATCTAATACCCTGGCTTCAATGATTGTCGGGTCAAATACTTAGGTCAAAGTAGTAGAACAGGGGCAGTCAGTCAGACTAGACGAGCATAAAAGCCTAGCAGCAACATCTAGATTAGTTGATCCGAATAAGATAATAAGAGGTGTGGAGAATAGTTCAGCCGTAGATAGCACTCACTACATGCAGTTACACACACACACACAACCATACAGTAGGATGGATGAGATAAGCTGACAGTTTTAAAATCTAATGTAACAGTAGGGTGGAGGGAGCGATTGATAATGAAAGCTTATCGGAAGTTTATCGAATCAGGTGAATGAAAATATACGTGTCATAGGAATGATTCAACACTTGTCCAATTGGACATCTGGAAAATTCTACTACCCCAACGACAAATAAGACAGGACAAAAGAAAACTATAAAACTCAAGTTTTAAAGTCGTCTGATTATAAGTGATGATATGATTATGAACAATCAATTTTGTTTGAAACGTTATCCAGTAAATAATACTGTTCCACTGACTGTGTGATACATCTAATAAACAAACTAATATGGAGTTATATGATCGGTTTATAACGAGTTGAATGAAAATCCATAAGTAACAACCATTTTTCTTGAATTTAAAACAATCTTGCGTAATCAAAAGGGTTGACAACTAGTCAGCTGAGTGATGAATACTCTTTTGATTTTGGTTGATACGGAACAAGAGAACAAAATATTCAAAATGAGTTACAGAAAATTATAAAACGCGCGGCATAGAGGCTTACTGCAGGCTTATTCAGGGAAGATAAAGAAAAAGACAAGCTCCAGGCAACTGATCGTTTATTAAGAAAATCAACAGATATTTATAGATTTTTATTATGTACATTATTGTCAGCGGAGAAGCAACGTCTTCTGATTGGTTGCGTTTCTTTCTAAAATCTCTTTCTGTACTGCTTGTGACCGTTTCTTAGAAAGTTAAGCCCATATATCTACGAATTGTATTTGCACGCATTAAGTCTTCTGTGACTGATTGGTGAGTTCCTCAAGGTTAAGCCTTGTTATTGTTTTTTCCTTCATGATCCGATCCCGGGACGTAAATATTGGTGTAAAAATTGTCGTCTACAATTTTGGCTTTTTCGCAACCACCAGCTCTTACCACACTAAAGCTATGGTAATAAGAAGAGGATAGACAAAATGTTTATGAACACAAAGTACGGGTTTCTCCTTAAGGAGAATGCTAAGGCTTCAGCTGAATGAAGAAGATATAGGTGAAACGCTATCGAATGACTTCGTTGTGTGTGTGTGTGTGTATGTGTACTTTATCCATGACTTTGAAAGAAGTCTCTCTACCGACGCTCAATAACCAGAAGTAATAATATGCTCCAAAATTTGACTGTGTATTGTTCTGCAGCACTGGGTGACGCGAGTTCGACTCTCAGAAGGGACATGAATTCCTTCAGGGTTGTAGATACGCCTTGCTGTGACTAGTAGTGAGTACCAACTAGCACGAGACCTAGGTTTAGTCAAGGGGTTTCTTGTGGCTAATTGCCTCCAACCATCTAATACCAACAATTTACAGTGCAGTGTGTACCGTAATGGCGAGCTGCCACTTAGGTGACATGGTGACCAGAGTGCAAACTTGACTGACTGATAAAATTCAGTCTGCACCAAAGGTAGGATTAAATACACACACACACTACACTAGTTACTGTTCTACCTTGTCCTTTAGACAACCATGCTAGTAAGTAAGTATCCATCAATACATCCAGATAATATCCTACTGGTATGGCCTATCTACGTAGGTGGTAGCCCTCTACAGGGACAGGTGAATTTGGTTAGTATACATTGAAGTTGCCAACAGTAGGATCGTATTTTTCACGTTTTGTTGAATAAAAGCATGTGCGTTGTGGTAAAACTGATCATGTATTTATATAAGTATATATATTTAAAAACATCCTAAGCATAATTGTACAGCTTTGAAGTGAAATTAGGAAAAGAGGAGATTTATGTCACTGACACTTTTATATGGGTGTTCTGAATTACTTGATGAAATGGGAATATTTCATACCGTAAAGAAAGAAAAACAAAGGTTTGATTATGTAATGATAACATAAATAAAAGAGAATATAAGTCATCTACTGTTATAACATGTAAGGAAGGAGAGAACATCCGAGACGAGCCCCTACGTAGGATTCTTAGTAAAGCAGGATTTAAGGTGGCATTTAAACCTACAAACTCATTCAGGGACAAGCTGTGTAGGTTAAAGGACCCAGTTGACGCAATTAGACAAACTAATATAATTTACAAAATGCCTTGCAATGACTGTGAGTTAGGTCAAACTAGTAGGTAGGGGGTAGTCAGATTGTCGGAACATAAGAACTTAGCTAAGGTAAGAATGATTGACTCCGCGAAGATAAGTAATTTAGAAAAAAGCTCAGCTATAGCACTACACGCATTAACACACAATAAGGCGGGTGGGACAGAATCAAAATTATAAAAAGTAATATAGATAGACGGCAAGAGAGATTGATTACTGAATCCTGCCTGGTTAATTGAGTGTACACCCAACACATGCAACAGAAATGACTCAATGCAAATACCAGAAATATAGAAGATATTATTACCAGCAGTCAGTCAAATCAGAGGAGGATAATAAATAATCTTAATTCTATTTCAATTCAAGCATATCACAACATTCTAGCAAGTTACTTAATTGTGACTATAAAAACACTCGTCTTATTTCCCATCCGATTGTAATTGATCAATAACAACATTCAGCTGTCCAGTACTCCCAGGTTTTCCAATGGTTCTCTAACCAATGTCAGCTCATGATGAAATCATGTAACCAATCAATGAAATCCCTAAAAACCAATACTTGTATATCAATGAGATGTTCACTAGTGACTTGCCCTATTTAGGTAGGTAGGTAGGTAGTTAGTTCCCTGGGGTTTTAGTGGAAAGTCGTGGACAGTAGGGTGCATCAGGTCGGTTGTGAGGGCAAATACTCGCAGAAGATATTGGCTAGTGGTTGCGCTATGTCATGAATTGGCAGAAGGTAGAATTCATTGGCCATTGCATTGGGTCCCATTGGCTTGATGGTCTACGAGCTCGCCTTGTATACAGAAAGTCTTGGATTCGAACCCTGGCGGGTTGAGTGCGTACTGCTAAGGAGTCCCAGACTAGGACGAAACAGTTGTCTTTTTGTGATTTCTCATTGATATACATATCAGATTGTGAATAAACTTTGTAACTAATCCAATCTCTTGAAAATCGATTTTTTTTAAATTTCTTATTGTCCTTCAGGAGAGAACATTTTGATTTCTTCCATGACTTCTTTTGCATCATTATTTGATTTGTTTTGTTTGTTTCTACAAAATATGCTTCTTGTTCTTCTTTCAGATATGGTCACCATTATGTCCGTTGTATGCTGAAGAAGATGAGACATTTACTCATTTAAAATACTCAACGACTAGAATCAATTCAGATGTTCTACGACTTCGTAAATCGAAGTTAGCCAAGGCATTTTTTCCAAATAATGATTTTATTAACAATACAACCACTAATAATAATAATAATACTGAGATGGAATCTCTTCGTAAATTACTATCAGATAAAACGAATGGAATTTCTATTTCAATAGATTCATTAACTTCTTCTTCGTCATCATCAGCGCCGTCGTCGTCGTCGTCCTCCTCTCATCATCATCATCATCATCCTCCGCCTCCTCCACATCATCTTCATCTCTATCAACTTCAGAGGAGGAGATGACATCCGCCTCTACAAATCATCATATTGATGAGTGTGATAATGTTAAAAATGCTAAGAATGAAAAACAGATAGCGCATGAATTTATAAATACTAGTACAGAGGAATATTCTGTTGATATGGGTTCTCCATCATTATCATCATCATCGTCTGCTGGTGTTACTGCGGCTGCTGCTGTTTATACTCTGAGTAAATCTCGTAAAAGACGACATCCAACTACGGATGTAATATTCAATGATGATATAGAAGCCGGTGATAATAATATTGCTCACCATGTTACTAATAATCATAATAATGTCGATTATTGTACTGAACAAAATGATGATATGCTACAGGTTGAGAATAATAATAATAGTAATAATAATACAATAAAACAAGAGATGAATGGTATCACATCGGAGATAATAAATCCTCAAGAATTTCCTCCGCTTAGTAAACAACCGAAACGATCGTCTCCATCATCATCACAAGTGTTGCCAACATGTTCGACTTCAAATACAATTCATAATAATAATAATAATAATAGTGTTGAACAAGTCTCTAAAATTCACGAAAATGATGATAAGACTATCAAGGAGATGCCTAAGAAAACTGTAGGATATCAAGATAATAATAATAGTAAAAGTGGTGAATCACAGTCGTCGACCAGTGATAGAATTCAACCAAGGATACCACAATACTTGTTACCCTTTAATCAAATCGACTTACAATTGGTAAGTTGTGACTAGGAGACAGAGAGAAAAAAAGAAATTAAATGAGTAGTTTGTTGATTTTCTTCTTTTTCTTGTTTGTGTGTGTGTTAACATATCCTTTGATTTTATATTTTAGACTACAAGCAATAAGAAGACGTAATTTTGTCTGAATCGTGTGTGTGTGTGTAATGTTGTATTTGTGCAACATATTTCGAACAGTCTGATCACACACACACACACACACACACATACAGACTTGTTATAGGAACGATACATTATATGAAATTAATAAGGAGTTAAGAGTTGAGAAAATAGACTACTTAGGTCAATACTTTGATAAAGCTATTAGCATTAAATAGCGAAACGTCAGTAAAAACAGTATCGTTTTGTTTTTCATTCATTGGGAAACACAAAATACCTTTATTATAATAAATACGTAGGTCAAGTTAAAAGGACATATTGAAGGTGAAAATAACACTGAAGATCACCAAACCGAATAACTGAGGTAATAGTGTGGTGAGAGCTAGCTGTTAGTCAAAATTGGTGGACAGTAATTTACGTCAATGTTTATATCCCCAATATTGGTCGTGAGAAAAATGAGAAGAAAGGCTTTGCGTAGGCGGATACAGTTAACATAGAGATGATCTGACATTCAAGAAACAGCCACAAGAGATGCAAGGTTAACTTTCTGGGAGAAACAACCAATCAGAAGACTGTGTTTTTCTGCTAACAATAATCTATAATAATGTGCATGTGTTGATTTCTGTAATAAACGATCCGTTGCCTGGCCCTTGTATTCTGTTGTTACAATAGTACATTTACCTACCCTGGCTGCTATCAAAACAAAGTTTACCAGGGAAGGTTGTTTGGTGTGATAGCTGATTGTTGGTTCCAATTTTCTAATTCCTAGTTAGGGTTTCCACGAACTTTAGCATACACCCTCCGCCAAACACGTCTCATAGATAGGTTTAAAAGATGTGTTAACATCAATTTTATATCCTGCCTCTATAATATGTTTGGCGATAGAGGAGATAATTCTCCTGTTCTCGCCAATAGTTGGTCCTAAACATTCTGTTTGTTTCTGAAACCATTTAGGAAAGTGCTGTGAAACCAGCCCTTAATTACAGAGATCGTTGAGTGAACACACATACATAAGGAGGACCCATCGATCTCTGCAATTAAAGGTTGTAAAGGGGGAAGAAAAGACATGAGGCTAGTAACCCCAACCCTTAGAAAATAAACACTGCTACCGAAACTTCAAGCTTCCAGCTTGAAGCTCTAAGTTCCACGGGGAATGTTAAGGAATAAACAAATAAGCTTATACATCATATGGAAACTTTCCTTATTTTGTTATTTGATTGAATTTTAGATTTCCCTACCTCGATTGATTGGACCGAAGTGCTCGGTCTCAGGTTGACATATCGGCTTCTTGTGCACATGCTTCGACGATGTCCGGGAATGTTATTAGACGTAAATTGGTGGATGGTTACTAGCAGGGGAATCCATCAGAATGCGCATTTCGCCCTATTTAGGACTTGTCAGCTAGTGGATGTACCTGCATTCCCCAGTGAGTGATAAGCCTTAGTGGGAACATTATCATTCACTGGGGAATGCACTAGCTGACGAGTCCCAAGTAGGACGAAATGCACATCCTGGATTCCACTGCTAGTCACCATCCACCAATTATATCCTTATTTTGATTTAGTGATGTATTTTTTGTTCTCAGTATGAAATGAACTTCTTTGACTTCTCTCCATGATTGAGACAAATTTATGTCTCTGTTGTTCACTTTTATTCACTCAGAATTCGAAGTTTCTGGTCATGGAATGATTTACTTTTTATTCATTGATAAATGTGATCGATAGTAATGGGTTTGATCATTGCTGATCCACTTGGGAACCAGGTTTCTAGGAATTCTCTGAGTGCGTTTTTGGTGTTTTCTCTGTTTAAAATTTCTACATTCTTTTAATCCAATTGGTCTCAGGAATTATTTACATACATGCTTTCATCTCTTCACTTGACCTCCTCCAAGTCATCCTTGAAGGACGAACTTGCCGCTTCCCTTCCGGGCTCCACTCGAGGGCTTGTCTAGTGATGTCACTTGATGGTTTCCTCAGAGTATGGCTAGCCAATCCACCTCCATTTCTTCCTGTTTATTTGTTGCATAACCGGTTCCTGATTGGCTCGCTCCTAGAGATCCCTATTGCTAATCTTTTCTGGCCGTCTGATTTTGAGTACTGAGCGAAGACAGCTGTTGATGAAGTTGTGTAGTTTGTTTGAAGTGGTCTTCATCACACGACAAGTCTCTGATCCATAAATCCGGATCTTATTTTTCATTCTGATTGCTGTTGATCTACACACAGACTTGAGAGAAATTTAAAGCTTGCTTTGCTTTCCCGATCCTTGATTTGATATCCTTGGCAGTTCCGTCTGTTTGACGGAGCTGAAAGGATGCTTCCTAGGTATCTGAAGGATGTCGATGTTTTCAGATTTCTCTCATTTACGCTGGCTGATTGTTGTCTGTTGTTGTTGGCCAGGAATCTTCATCACCTCTGTTTTCTCTATGTTCACCTGAAGTCCTTCCTATATTTAATGCTTCTTCTGCCAACTTGTTACTTTTCACTTGCATATCTTCGAGTTTGTGGGAAGTCAGACATATTATCATCGGCAAGGTACAGATCCTTAAAGTTTTTTGTGTGGGTCCATTTTATGCCTGTTTACTCGCTGTCTGTCGCATTATCCAGTCTACTGCAATCAAGAAAATAATTGGAGATAGTAGGCAGCCTTGTCGTACTCCCGTCTTCACTTCGAAAGATTCCGCGAGTTTTGCGTTGTGGACTACTTGGCATGCAGCATTGTTGTACAGCTGTGTGATGAAATGTATAAATGTCGGCGGCACTCCGTAGTAGCGAAGTAGTTGCCAAATCACCTCTCGATTAACGCCGCGCTGTCGAAGGCCTTTTCACAGTCAATGAAGTTAAGAAATAAAGCCGACTGCCATTCCGAGCTCTCTTCAATGATGATCCGTAGTGTTGCGATTTTATCAGTGCATGACTTATTTCTCCTGATTACAGCCTCTTCTAGTTGAAGTTTTCCATCCAGTGCGTGTTTGACCCTCTCTTTAATTGTTTATATATATATATATATATATTCTTTTATTTTTAATTTATATTTTCAGCGTGTTGGTCAGAATTGGGTTAATCGAGCCTGTGAACGTAGTCAATTAGAATGTTTAGATGATAGAAGTTTCCGTGTAAGTCTCAATGTCTTATTATTACTGTTATTATTATTAACAATAATATCTCTGTGGAGATGTAGTCTAATTGCTTATGAGCTCAGTTAATATCTAAGATTAACCATCAGCGTTCCAGTTCTGCTCTCGTCAGCTTCAACCTGAAGTCAACTAGGTGTTACCATTATGGCTTACATAATAAGTATGGCTTGTCTGTCTGTTTTCGACATAGAACTTTGCACCGATGTGCACCAGTTCAAGTCGACACACTCTTCGTGTAATACAAAGCAAGAGAAGAAAGTAGAAGAAATGCATAATATAGACAGTAAACAGAGGTGTGAGACAAAGGAGTAGTAATATTGAAGAACAATATAGTTTTATTGGAAATCATAAGTCACAAGGAGTGAATGCATCTTCGCTAGCCATTGGTGTTTACCGTCCTGAGGATCCCAGCAAGGAGGCCAGTCTATGTCTTTCTACGTGGTTGGCTGGCTTAAACTGACTATTGTGGATTTCATTGACTGATGAAGCCATGTTTTGGTTTGACCGCCGCTAGCTGGCTCTTTTCCAGCCTGACCCTGTATCAGCTAACATTGACCGTCAGCGAGGAAGGCGATAACTAGGCATACGTAACACATGTCCTAACCATCTCAGTCGATGTAGCTTCACAATCTCGTCTGTTGATTTTCCCTCCCTGCTTGCCTGGCACTAGACCGATGCCTAACCACCTCAAAATTGCTCACCTTATTATACCACTTCACACAGGAAATAGAGCGCAGGCACTTATAATCAAAGACAGCTAATCTTTTCATGTCTTAATGGCCAGGTCTCACAGCCACAAAGGAGGACGGAGCGGACTGGTGAGCAGTATCCCTGCCCTTTGGTCGATAGCGGTGTAACAACAGAAGACAAGGGCCAGGCAACAGATCGTTTTATTACGAAAATCAACGCGTATTTATATATATATATATATATATATATATATTTTTTATGTACATTAATAAGGCTTATGCAAGCAGAAAAAGGCAGTCTTCTAATCGGTTGTTTCTCGGAAGTTAAGCAGACAAACACAGTCTCCTGAAATGGTTGTTTTCAATATTTCTCGGAAAGTAGAGCCATTTATCTGCGAATCATATATGCCCACGTTTAAGTCTGCTGTGATTGGTTGTTGAATCAGCCTAGATTAATGTCTACTAATCAGCGTCGATTAATGTCTACCAATTGGCTAGCAGCCTGCTCTCACCACAGCGGGATATCACGTCTACATAGCGAGAGACGGCGTAAACTGGGGTATTCGAAACTAGCCCTCTGTATCCGTGCTGAGATTTCGTCAGAGATCAACCCGTTAGTGTTGGCTGGTGCAACTTCCCAAATAAGTGAAGCGGTCAACGTGCTCTGTCACTTCCCTCCCTATTTCTAAACTGGGAATCAGTGTAGTCCAGTTCTGTAGCCTCATCATCTTACATTTGACAGCATGAGCGAATCGTATACCAAACATTCGTGGATTGCAACTCAAGGTGTTCATCAAAAGAGTCTGCATTTTATCAGCATCCTTGCCTGGTTATAGCCTGGTATATGAAAAATTTACTCATTTTAATTGAGTTGAAACAATGGCATAACAAGATTTTATTTTTAATCATGAGCAGTAGACTTCAGTTGGGGAAACCATTGAAAGCCAGCAAGAAGGAATAGTGGACAGTTCCGGGATTCAAACTCAAGGCCATCCGGGTTACAACACGAACTTGTAGACCATTCAGCCATTAGGACTCACTCAAATAGCCTTTGAATTTCAACCTCAGCCAAATTCCCTATATCTATTAAACGGAACCGCTAACCAATGTTGTGAACGAGTAACTATTCTCTTATCTGACTTGGCGGCCCCTCTGGTGACGACTTCTCACCTATATCTCCAGATAACTTCTTAACGTTAGTGAGCATCAGATTATTTAGATCACAAGGTGACATCCAGTGGTTGTCTAACTTGATGACAGATCAGTTTTAAATCTACAACCAATCAAATCCCTACAGACCAACACTTCAATATATATACAACAAGAACAAGTGATACTGTTATTATTCTTTTGTGTTTTGAGTGGAGCATATACCTTGAACACCACATCTCCGCTTTGTCTTGCTCTCTCTCTCTCTCTCTCTCACAGTCACCTTTACCTGAATTCACGTTTGTCCATCATCTTTCATCTCCTTCACACACGATCTCTCACCTGTCACCCTTGAACACAAGCTCAACTCGTCGTTTCCTGTTCGAGTTTCACTCAAACGATAGTCTGGCACGCCATGCGTAATAACAGAAGACGAGGGTCAGGCAACAGATCGTTTATTGAAGAAATCAACAGATATTTATAGATTTTCATGTACATTATTATAGGTTATTGTAAGCAAACAAACACAGTGTCTTCTAATTGGTGGTTTCTCGCCGTTTATTGAAGTTCAGTTCATCTATCTGCAAATTGTATCCGCCTACGCTAAGTCCGCTTTGATTGGTTGTTGAGTTAGTCTTTGTTCTTGTTTTTTTCCTCACGATCATTATTTAGGACGCAAACATTGACGTAAATTACTGTCTGCCAATTTTTTTCTAGCAGCCAGCTCTCACCACAATGTCACCCGATGGTCTCTTCAACGTGTTTCTGATCCATCTTGAATTTCTTCGGGATATTCATTCATTCATTCCCAGAGAGTTGTTTGTTGCTAATTCTTTCTAGCTGGCTATTTGATCCTCATTATGTGGAGTAAAGAAAGCTGTTGATGAAACTCTGCAGTAGGTCTGTTCGAAACACTTTTGGTGAGGTGTTCACCACCATGTCTGTAAACCACACTGTGACTGACTTTGACTGTAATGTTGAAAATCTTAATATACCAGACTGATTCCAGAGTTATAAATGTTTTTGCCTTACCTCTTTCCCAATCCTGACTTCGACATCCTTACCCGTGCTACTTGTAGTTGAAACGATGATGCGTAAATGTAAGTGTGAAAAAAGTAGACAGTTCATTTTATAAAAGATTGGCGTATTTGTAGACGGAGAAGATACAAGCTGCACAGGTATTGTGTAGCATAACCAATTATGATCAAAAAAGAGATTCTATGGATTGTAAGAAGAAGAATATTCTTGATTCTATAGGTACTTACTTCACATATAAATGGCGATATTCATGTAGTCCTGTGGAAAGTTATTCAAGTAATTAGTGAAAATCGGTCAAATATCACAAAGACATTGATGAAATTAGTCGAAAAAGAAAATAATCAATAAATATATGTGTTGTGTATCAGAACACTTTACAAAAACAAAATGGAACTTAATCTGGACTAGTTAGTGGTGAGAGGGACAGTAGTGACTACGCAGATGGTAACAGTGTGTAGTGAGAGCTGTCTGCGAACAAGCCAGAATTGTAAACAACAATTGACGTCAATGTTTTTACTTCCCGAATCGGAGTCATGAGAGAAAAAAACAAGAACAAAGCCTAACCTTGAGGAACTCAACAACCAATCACATCAGACTTAGCGTGGGCGGGTACGATTAGTAGATATATATCAACGGACTGTCTAAGAAACGGCAGCAAACAGATGACAGAATAACCTTCAGCAGGAATACAACCAATCAGAAGACATCGCTTCTCTGCTAACAATAACACTAATAATAATGTACATAAAAATCTGTAAATATTTGTTAATTTTCTGAATAAACGATCTGTTTTCTGGCCACTGTCTCTTCTGTCGTTACAACAGTATCGTTTAGCACATATATACAGAATTCAGATGGTTGAAACTATAGCGATTTGAAGTACATGCGAAGTGCTTTATCTATTCACTCTAACTTAAAAGATATTCCCCTGTGTTGATCTGGTATCCTGTCCTGCCCTATTCCTCTTCATTTCTTGTGTTCAAAGTGAAACATAGAACTTTAAGCTGTAGATTCGAAGTTCCAGTTGCAGACTAGCATTCAGTTTTAAGTGAATGAGATTGCTAGCCTCACACCTATTCTTCCTGCTTTTCCGAACGTACTGTTGGTTAGTAAACTAAGTGAAGCTTCGAAATGTATCATCCAGGAATTGAACCTATACCACATATGTGAATGGTGAACATTATGCTATTGAACCGTTGTCGCAAATTTATCAAGGGATCTAATTTTATAGAGAAAATGTAAATAGAATCTGTTTTTATGCATCGTTTATTTGAGTGCATTAGCACTGGCTTCATTTACTAACTCCTGTGATTTAGGGAATATTTTTTGTTGACTTGGAATATGTCGATGATATATAGACCTCCTAGGTGAAGACGCTGACAAAATGCAGAGATTACTGATGAACTCCTTGAAAAGAAATCATTGAATGTTTTAGAATGTGACTTTTTTCCTTTCAGATGTGAGATGGTTGTACATGACTGGACTATGTCGACTCATTTCTAGCTTAAAGATAAGGATTGAAGTGGTGACTGAGCGTGTTGACCACTTCGCTTCACTCCATGATCAACTTGTAAAAACAAATCTATTTCTTACAAATCAACTCTGGAAAATTAATCTGATGCTCTCTAGTGACTGACTCGCTACAGGACGGTATTTCGTGGAGTTGTAGTGAGAAGTCGTCGTGACCAGTGACGTCCATCCAGTCAAGTGTGTGTGTGTGAGGATCGATGTCCCACGTATGGCATTAGTTGATGGTCGCGCTAAATCACGAATTCGTAGAATTTATAATTCATGAGCTGGCTGTTGAATCGGACCAGGCGCCATTGGCTGAATGGTATACGAGGCAGCCTGCCTTTGCACCGATGTACAGTAGTTCGAGTTACCACACTCCCTCTTTGTGGCACACAAAGCAAGAGAAGAAGAAAGTAAAAAGAAATGCAAAATAGAGACAGTAACCAGAGATATGAGGCAAAAGAATAGTGACATGGAAGAAGAATATAGTTTCATTGAGTATTATAAGTCACAAAGAGTGAATACATCTCCCCCAGCCATTGAGGAGGAAGATTTTGAGCCATATCACCAATTGTCTCCAGCCTCCATTGGTCGTTACCGTCCCGAGGACTCTAACCAGGAAGGAAGTCTACATCTCCCCTGTGTGACTGTCTTAAACTAGCTGTTGTGGATTCCATTGACTGATGAAGTCATGTTTTAGTTTGACCGCCACTAGCTGGCTGTTTTACAGCCTGACCATATGTCAGCTAACATTGCCCGTTGTCGAGGAAGGCTATCGATGGCTAGACATGCATACATCACACATCATGTCCCAACTATCTCAGTCAATGTAGCTTCACAGCTTCGTTGATTAATTCACAAACTAGGCTGATGGAACAGCTATCCAGTACTCCCTACGGCTGGTTTTCAATGGTTCTCTAACTGATATCAATCCATGGTTAGACTCATAAAAATTTAAAAAAAACTATTCCTTACAAATCAACTATTGAAAGTTTGTTTTTTCTCTGCTACTATTTTCTTGTTCTTGTTCTTCCCCTCCAGATTCTAACAGCAATTGAATCAGTTGCTGAATTACGTCCAATAGGCGTAAACAATACGGACGATGATGATGATGATGATGACAGTGATTCAGATACAGATTCAAGTAGTAACAACAGCAGTTCTAGTGATTCAAACTATAACAACACCGCCGCCGCCGCCACCACCAACAACAACAACAGCAACCGCGCCAACGATGATGATGACGATGGCGACAACAATAATCACGTTAATGATAATTCTTGCAATGCTTTTGAATTTATTCAATCTGCTGTAGTTATGCTTGATGATCATTTTAATCTTCCAGTGAACAGACGAGGGACGACGACGACGACAAGGAGAAGGAGGAGCAGAAGAAGAAGAACACGAAGAAGAAATTACGATGATGATGATAATAATAATACTAACAATAATAATAGTAATATAGAACAAAGTGAAGAAACATTAGCTACTAGAGATCGTGAAGAAGGCTCAGGTGAACATAGTTCATCAGATGGTGATGATGACAATAATAATAATAGTAATAGTAATAATATTGCATCAAGAATATCCAGCTTTTTAGCTAATGAATTTAATTGCTCCTCAGATTCAGAGAGTACCTTCTCGTCATCATCCTCATCGTCGTCAAGCCCGTCAACATCAAATCGTTCATCACTATCCAGTAGTATGCTTACTGGTGTATCACTTTTAAGGCGAAAATTCTCATAACATGCGTGTCTGTGTGTGTGTGTGTGTGTGTAAATGTGAGAAATGAAAAGAGAGTCGGAAAGAATCTGAATTATACGGTTTTGTGATGATTATTATTATTAGTAGTAGTAGTATTATTTTTGTGGTCTTTACCTGTTCTGTCTGAAGTTTTGTAATGCATTTTGTTTGTTTCTATTATTATTATTATTATTATTATTGGCAAGAATTCATCTCATTTTTATTCTACGGTTTCTTTTTTGTCTTTGGCGCATGTACAATTTGTGTGTGTGGGCGCGCGCGCGCTCCTTCACAGAGACACACACACAGTGACAATATTTCATGTATTCTTCCCTGGTTTGAGTAAATATCACCGCTAATCACATGAAATGGTCAGTTAGTTAGTTAGCTGGCTAGTTATCATTATTCCCACTACCAAGAATGATTAGGCAACTGAATATTATTATTATTATCACTATTACTATTACTAACCTTTGTAAATTATTCCATTTAATTCCATTATAACCATGTTAAAATTTGCACACTTCTTCGTCATGAATTCATTCTGTGTGTGTGTGTGCGTGTGGGTGTATGTGTACACGTTTCGTCGTCAGTGGAGTAAACTTAACGCCAAACACATTAGTACATATATATATATATATATATATATATATGTTCCAGGATTCGATCCCCTGTCGACAAACACCTGATATCAGTTGCCAATCCGCGAAATTTGAAGATATAATCAAAACTAATCTTTTTTTAAAACATAAATAAATAAATATGTGTATATTACCACTTTTACATAAAACCGATAGAGGAGGACACTTTTTAAACCTATTGAAGTGGGTGGGTAGGTGCGTGGGGATTTGTTTGTGTTGGCGTTTGTTTGTTTGTTTTGTTTTTTCATATAACTAATTGTCTCTCGCGCGCGCTCGCATTAATTTATTTTATTTTGCTTGCTTGTTTGTTTATCTTTTTGTATTTCATAAAAATACCATTTCATGATGATATTATTGATTTTTTTCTCGCCTTAAATTTTATTTTATTCCCTTTGCGTCCTTTTGAGTGGAGGCCTTCAGTAGCGCACATTGGTATTCTTATCTAATTATGCAGTAGAGTGTTTGATCGTTGGTAGCACACTCTTCAATCTATCTTGTCTTCTTTTCGGATTTACAGTCGACTAGATAAGGTAAAGGTGTACATATATATATGTATATATGTGCACCGGTTGGGAGTCGAACTCTGGATCATATGAGGCTTGAGTGGCACGCGTGAGCATTCTACTGTTGAAACCATCGATTGACTCACGGAGGTTAAAGATTATATGATAAAAAAAATAATAAATAATGATAGTAGCGATAGTAGTAATAATAATGTTAATATTAATGACGACACCAACAATAAGGAATCTAAATTATCAGTAGTAATTCCATACAGGGAAGGAACCTCAGAAACCACCTTACGCTGAATTCTTAACAAGGCGCGCAGGAATAAAAGAGGCTGGCATTCAAACCACCCACAAACTCAATTACAAACAAGCTTTGTCTGTTAAAGGGTCAATCCTGTGGAGCCTATAAAACAAAACAATTTGGTTTATCTAATACCCTGGCTTCAATGATTGTCGGGTCAAATACTTAGGTCAAAGTAGTAGAACAGGGGCAGTCAGTCAGACTAGACGAGCATAAAAGCCTAGCAGCAACATCTAGATTAGTTGATCCGAATAAGATAATAAGAGGTGTGGAGAATAGTTCAGCCGTAGATAGCACTCACTACATGCAGTTACACACACACACACAACCATACAGTAGGATGGATGAGATAAGCTGACAGTTTTAAAATCTAATGTAACAGTAGGGTGGAGGGAGCGATTGATAATGAAAGCTTATCGGAAGTTTATCGAATCAGGTGAATGAAAATATACGTGTCATAGGAATGATTCAACACTTGTCCAATTGGACATCTGGAAAATTCTACTACCCCAACGACAAATAAGACAGGACAAAAGAAAACTATAAAACTCAAGTTTTAAAGTCGTCTGATTATAAGTGATGATATGATTATGAACAATCAATTTTGTTTGAAACGTTATCCAGTAAATAATACTGTTCCACTGACTGTGTGATACATCTAATAAACAAACTAATATGGAGTTATATGATCGGTTTATAACGAGTTGAATGAAAATCCATAAGTAACAACCATTTTTCTTGAATTTAAAACAATCTTGCGTAATCAAAAGGGTTGACAACTAGTCAGCTGAGTGATGAATACTCTTTTGATTTTGGTTGATACGGAACAAGAGAACAAAATATTCAAAATGAGTTACAGAAAATTATAAAACGCGCGGCATAGAGGCTTACTGCAGGCTTATTCAGGGAAGATAAAGAAAAAGACAAGCTCCAGGCAACTGATCGTTTATTAAGAAAATCAACAGATATTTATAGATTTTTATTATGTACATTATTGTCAGCGGAGAAGCAACGTCTTCTGATTGGTTGCGTTTCTTTCTAAAATCTCTTTCTGTACTGCTTGTGACCGTTTCTTAGAAAGTTAAGCCCATATGTCTACAAATTGTATTTGCACGTATTAAGTCTTCTGTGACTGGTTGGTGAGTTCCTCAAGGTTAAGCCTTGTTATTGTTTTTTCCTTCATGATCCGATCCCGGGACGTAAATATTGGTGTAAAAATTGTCGTCTACAATTTTGGCTTTTTCGCAACCACCAGCTCGTACCACACTAAAGCTATGGTAATAAGAAGAGGATAGACAAAATGTTTATGAACACAAAGTACGGGTTTCTCCTTAAGGAGAATGCTAAGGCTTCAGCTGAATGAAGAAGATATAGGTGAAACGCTATCGAATGACTTCGTTGTGTGTGTGTGTGTGTATGTGTACTTTATCCATGACTTTGAAAGAAGTCTCTCTACCGACGCTCAATAACCAGAAGTAATAATATGCTCCAAAATTTGACTGTGTATTGTTCTGCAGCACTGGGTGACGCGAGTTCGACTCTCAGAAGGGACATGAATTCCTTCAGGGTTGTAGATACGCCTTGCTGTGACTAGTAGTGAGTACCAACTAGCACGAGACCTAGGTTTAGTCAAGGGGTTTCTTGTGGCTAATTGCCTCCAACCATCTAATACCAACAATTTACAGTGCAGTGTGTACCGTAATGGCGAGCTGCCACTTAGGTGACATGGTGACCAGAGTGCAAACTTGACTGACTGATAAAATTCAGTCTGCACCAAAGGTAGGATTAGATACACACACACACACTACACTAGTTACTGTTCTACCTTGTCCTTTAGACAACCATGCTAGTAAGTAAGTATCCATCAATACATCCAGATAATATCCTACTGGTATGGCCTATCTACGTAGGTGGTAGCCCTCTACAGGGACAGGTGAATTTGGTTAGTATACATTGAAGTTGCCAACAGTAGGATCGTATTTTTCACGTTTTGTTGAATAAAAGCATGTGCGTTGTGGTAAAACTGATCATGTATTTATATAAGTATATATATTTAAAAACATCCTAAGCATAATTGTACAGCTTTGAAGTGAAATTAGGAAAAGAGGAGATTTATGTCACTGACACTTTTATATGGGTGTTCTGAATTACTTGATGAAATGGGAATATTTCATACCGTAAAGAAAGAAAAACAAAGGTTTGATTATGTAATGATAACATAAATAAAAGAGAATATAAGTCATCTACTGTTATAACATGTAAGGAAGGAGAGAACATCCGAGACGAGCCCCTACGTAGGATTCTTAGTAAAGCAGGATTTAAGGTGGCATTTAAACCTACAAACTCATTCAGGGACAAGCTGTGTAGGTTAAAGGACCCAGTTGACGCAATTAGACAAACTAATATAATTTACAAAATGCCTTGCAATGACTGTGAGTTAGGTCAAACTAGTAGGTAGGGGGTAGTCAGATTGTCGGAACATAAGAACTTAGCTAAGGTAAGAATGATTGACTCCGCGAAGATAAGTAATTTAGAAAAAAGCTCAGCTATAGCACTACACGCATTAACACACAATAAGGCGGGTGGGACAGAATCAAAATTATAAAAAGTAATATAGATAGACGGCAAGAGAGATTGATTACTGAATCCTGCCTGGTTAATTGAGTGTACACCCAACACATGCAACAGAAATGACTCAATGCAAATACCAGAAATATAGAAGATATTATTACCAGCAGTCAGTCAAATCAGAGGAGGATAATAAATAATCTTAATTCTATTTCAATTCAAGCATATCACAACATTCTAGCAAGTTACTTAATTGTGACTATAAAAACACTCGTCTTATTTCCCATCCGATTGTAATTGATCAATAACAACATTCAGCTGTCCAGTACTCCCAGGTTTTCCAATGGTTCTCTAACCAATGTCAGCTCATGATGAAATCATGTAACCAATCAATGAAATCCCTAAAAACCAATACTTGTATATCAATGAGATGTTCACTAGTGACTTGCCCTATTTAGGTAGGTAGGTAGGTAGTTAGTTCCCTGGGGTTTTAGTGGAAAGTCGTGGACAGTAGGGTGCATCAGGTCGGTTGTGAGGGCAAATACTCGCAGAAGATATTGGCTAGTGGTTGCGCTATGTCATGAATTGGCAGAAGGTAGAATTCATTGGCCATTGCATTGGGTCCCATTGGCTTGATGGTCTACGAGCTCGCCTTGTATACAGAAAGTCTTGGATTCGAACCCTGGCGGGTTGAGTGCGTACTGCTAAGGAGTCCCAGACTAGGACGAAACAGTTGTCTTTTTGTGATTTCTCATTGATATACATATCAGATTGTGAATAAACTTTGTAACTAATCCAATCTCTTGAAAATCGATTTTTTTTAAATTTCTTATTGTCCTTCAGGAGAGAACATTTTGATTTCTTCCATGACTTCTTTTGCATCATTATTTGATTTGTTTTGTTTGTTTCTACAAAATATGCTTCTTGTTCTTCTTTCAGATATGGTCACCATTATGTCCGTTGTATGCTGAAGAAGATGAGACATTTACTCATTTAAAATACTCAACGACTAGAATCAATTCAGATGTTCTACGACTTCGTAAATCGAAGTTAGCCAAGGCATTTTTTCCAAATAATGATTTTATTAATAATACAACCACTAATAATAATAATAATACTGAGATGGAATCTCTTCGTAAATTACTATCAGATAAAACGAATGGAATTTCTATTTCAATAGACTCATTAACTTCTTCTTCGTCATCATCAGCGCCGTCGTCGTCGTCCTCCTCCTCCTCATCATCATCATCATCCGCCTCCTCCACATCCTCTTCGTCATCTTCATCTCTATCAACTTCAGAGGAGGAGATGACATCCGCCTCTACAAATCATCATATTGATGAGTGTGATAATGTTAAAAATGCTAAGAATGAAAAACAGATAGCGCATGAATTTATAAATACTAGTACAGAGGAGTATTCTGTTGATATGGGTTCTCCATCATCATCCTCGTCTGCTGGTGTTACTGCGGCTGCTGCTGTTTATACTCTGAGTAAATCTCGTAAAAGACGACATCCAACTACGGATGTAATATTCAATGATGATATAGAAGCCGGTGATAATAATATTGCTCACCATGTTACTAATAATCATAATAATGCTGATTATTGTACTGAACAAAATGATGATATGCTACAGGTTGAGAATAATAATAATAGTAATAATAATACAATAAAACAAGAGATGAATGGTATCTCATCGGAGATAATAAATCCTCAAGAATTTCCTCCGCTTAGTAAACAACCGAAACGATCGTCTCCATCATCATCGCAAGTGTTGCCAACATGTTCAACTTCAAATACAATTCATAATAATAATAATAATAATAGTGTTGAACAAGTCTCTAAAATTCACGAAAATGATGATAAGACTATCAAGGAGATGCCTAAGAAAACTGTAGGATATCAAGATAATAATAATAATAAAAATGGTGAATCACAGTCGTCGACCAGTGATGGAATTCAACCAAGGATACCACAATACTTGTTACCCTTTAATCAAATCGACTTACAATTGGTAAGTTGTGACCAGGAGACAGAGAAAAAAAAAGAAATTAAATGAGTAGTTTGTTTTGATTTTCTTCTTTTTCTTGTGTGTGTGTGTGTTAACATATCCTTTGATTTTATATTTTAGACAACAAGCAATAAGAAGACGTAATTTTGTCTGAATCGTGTGTGTGTGTGTAATGTTGTATTTGTGCAACATATTTCGAACAGTCTGATCACACACACACACACACACACATACAGACTTGTTATAGGAACGATACATTATATGAAATTAATAAGGAGTTAAGAGTTGAGAAAATAGACTACTTAGGTCAATACTTTGATAAAGCTATTAGCATTAAATAGCGAAACGTCAGTAAAAACAGTATCGTTTTGTTTTTCATTCATTGGGAAACACAAAATACCTTTATTATAATAAATACGTAGGTCAAGTTAAAAGGACATATTGAAGGTGAAAATAACACTGAAGATCACCAAACCGAATAACTGAGGTAATAGTGTGGTGAGAGCTAGCTGTTAGTCAAAATTGGTGGACAGTAATTTACGTCAATGTTTATATCCCCAATATTGGTCGTGAGAAAAATGAGAAGAAAGGCTTTGCGTAGGCGGATACAGTTAACATAGAGATGATCTGACATTCAAGAAACAGCCACAAGAGATGCAAGGTTAACTTTCTGGGAGAAACAACCAATCAGAAGACTGTGTTTTTCTGCTAACAATAATCTATAATAATGTGCATGTGTTGATTTCTGTAATAAACGATCCGTTGCCTGGCCCTTGTATTCTGTTGTTACAATAGTACATTTACCTACCCTGGCTGCTATCAAAACAAAGTTTACCAGGGAAGGTTGTTTGGTGTGATAGCTGATTGTTGGTTCCAATTTTCTAATTCCTAGTTAGGGTTTCCACGAACTTTAGCATACACCCTCCGCCAAACACGTCTCATAGATAGGTTTAAAAGATGTGTTAACATCAATTTTATATCCTGCCTCTATAATATGTTTGGCGATAGAGGAGATAGTTCTCCTGTTCTCGCCAATAGTTGGTCCTAAACATTCTGTTTGTTTCTGAAACCATTTAGGAAAGTGCTGTGAAACCAGCCCTTAATTACAGAGATCGTTGAGTGAACACACATACATAAGGAGGACCCATCGATCTCTGCAATTAAAGGTTGTAAAGGGGGAAGAAAAGACATGAGGCTAGTAACCCCAACCCTTAGAAAATAAACACTGCTACCGAAACTTCAAGCTTCCAGCTTGAAGCTCTAAGTTCCACGGGGAATGTTAAGGAATAAACAAATAAGCTTATACATCATATGGAAACTTTCCTTATTTTGTTATTTGATTGAATTTTAGATTTCCCTACCTCGATTGATTGGACCGAAGTGCTCGGTCTCAGGTTGACATATCGGCTTCTTGTGCACATGCTTCAACGATGTCCGGGAATGTTATTAGACGTAAATTGGTGGATGGTTACTAGCAGGGGAATCCATCAGAATGCGCATTTCGCCCTATTTAGGACTTGTCAGCTAGTGGATGTACCTGCATTCCCCAGTGAGTGATAAGCCTTAGTGGGAACATTATCATTCACTGGGGAATGCACTAGCTGACGAGTCCCAAGTAGGACGAAATGCACATCCTGGATTCCACTGCTAGTCACCATCCACCAATTATATCCTTATTTTGATTTAGTGATGTATTTTTTGTTCTCAGTATGAAATGAACTTCTTTGACTTCTCTCCATGATTGAGACAAATTTATGTCTCTGTTGTTCACTTTTATTCACTCAGAATTCGAAGTTTCTGGTCATGGAATGATTTACTTTTTATTCACTGATAAATGTGATCGATAGTAATGGGTTTGATCATTGCTGATCCACTTGGGAACCAGGTTTCTAGGAATTCTCTGAGTGCGTTTTTGGTGTTTTCTCTGTTTAAAATTTCTACATTCTTTTAATCCAATTGGTCTCAGGAATTATTTACATACATGCTTTCATCTCTTCACTTGACCTCCTCCAAGTCATCCTTGAAGGACGAACTTGCCGCTTCCCTTCCGGGCTCCACTCGAGGGCTTGTCTAGTGATGTCACTTGATGGTTTCCTCAGAGTATGGCTAGCCAATCCACCTCCATTTCTTCCTGTTTATTTGTTGCATAACCGGTTCCTGATTGGCTCGCTCCTAGAGATCCCTATTGCTAATCTTTTCTGGCCGTCTGATTTTGAGTACTGAGCGAAGACAGCTGTTGATGAAGTTGTGTAGTTTGTTTGAAGTGGTCTTCATCACACGACAAGTCTCTGATCCATAAATCCGGATCTTATTTTTCATTCTGATTGCTGTTGACCTACACACAGACTTGAGAGAAATTTAAAGCTTGCTTTGCTTTCCCGATCCTTGATTTGATATCCTTGGCAGTTCCGTCTGTTTGACGGAGCTGAAAGGATGCTTCCTAGGTATCTGAAGGATGTCGATGTTTTCAGATTTCTCTCATTTACGCTGGCTGATTGTTGTCTGTTGTTGTTGGCCAGGAATCTTCATCACCTCTGTTTTCTCTATGTTCACCTGAAGTCCTTCCTATATTTAATGCTTCTTCTGCCAACTTGTTGCTTTTCACTTGCATATCTTCGAGTTTGTGAGAAGTCAGACATATTATCATCGGCAAGGTACAGATCCTTAAAGTTTTTTGTGTGGGTCCATTTTATGCCTGTTTACTCGCTGTCTGTCGCATTATCCAGTCTACTGCAATCAAGAAAATAATTGGAGATAGTAGGCAGCCTTGTCGTACTCCCGTCTTCACTTCGAAAGATTCCGCGAGTTTTGCGTTGTGGATTACTTGGCATGCAGCATTGTTGTACAGCTGTGTGATGAAATGTATAAATGTCGGCGGCACTCCGTAGTAGCGAAGTAGTTGCCAAATCACCTCTCGATTAACGCCGCGCTGTCGAAGGCCTTTTCACAGTCAATGAAGTTAAGAAATAAAGCCGACTGCCATTCCGAGCTCTCTTCAATGATGATCCGTAGTGTTGCGATTTTATCAGTGCATGACTTATTTCTCCTGATTACAGCCTCTTCTAGTTGAAGTTTTCCATCCAGTGCGTGTTTGACCCTCTCTTTAATTGTTTATATATATATATATATATATATTCTTTTATTTTTAATTTATATTTTCAGCGTGTTGGTCAGAATTGGGTTAATCGAACCTGTGAACGTAGTCAATTAGAATGTTTAGATGATAGAAGTTTCCGTGTAAGTCTCAATGTCTTATTATTACTGTTATTATTATTAACAATAATATCTCTGTGGAGATGTAGTCTAATTGCTTATGAGCTCAGTTAATATCTAAGATTAACCATCAGCGTTCCAGTTCTGCTCTCGTCAGCTTCAACCTGAAGTCAACTAGGTGTTACCATTATGGCTTACATAATAAGTATGGCTTGTCTGTCTGTTTTCGACATAGAACTTTGCACCGATGTGCACCAGTTCAAGTCGACACACTCTTCGTGTAATACAAAGCAAGAGAAGAAAGTAGAAGAAATGCATAATATAGACAGTAAACAGAGGTGTGAGACAAAGGAGTAGTAATATTGAAGAACAATATAGTTTTATTGGAAATCATAAGTCACAAGGAGTGAATGCATCTTCGCTAGCCATTGGTGTTTACCGTCCTGAGGATCCCAGCAAGGAGGCCAGTCTATGTCTTTCTACGTGGTTGGCTGGCTTAAACTGACTATTGTGGATTTCATTGACTGATGAAGCCATGTTTTGGTTTGACCGCCGCTAGCTGGCTCTTTTCCAGCCTGACCCTGTATCAGCTAACATTGACCGTCAGCGAGGAAGGCGATAACTAGGCATACGTAACACATGTCCTAACCATCTCAGTCGATGTAGCTTCACAATCTCGTCTGTTGATTTTCCCTCCCTGCTTGCCTGGCACTAGACCGATGCCTAACCACCTCAAAATTGCTCACCTTATTATACCACTTCACACAGGAAATAGAGCGCAGGCACTTATAATCAAAGACAGCTAATCTTTTCATGTCTTAATGGCCAGGTCTCACAGCCACAAAGGAGGACGGAGCGGACTGGTGAGCAGTATCCCTGCCCTTTGGTCGATAGCGGTGTAACAACAGAAGACAAGGGCCAGGCAACAGATCGTTTTATTACGAAAATCAACGCGTATTTATATATATATATATATATATATATATATATATATGTACATTAATAAGGCTTATGCAAGCAGAAAAAGGCAGTCTTCTAATCGGTTGTTTCTCGGAAGTTAAGCAGACAAACACAGTCTCCTGAAATGGTTGTTTTCAATATTTCTCGGAAAGTAGAGCCATTTATCTGCGAATCATATATGCCCACGTTTAAGTCTGCTGTGATTGGTTGTTGAATCAGCCTAGATTAATGTCTACTAATCAGCGTCGATTAATGTCTACCAATTGGCTAGCAGCCTGCTCTCACCACAGCGGGATATCACGTCTACATAGCGAGAGACGGCGTAAACTGGGGTATTCGAAACTAGCCCTCTGTATCCGTGCTGAGATTTCGTCAGAGATCAACCCGTTAGTGTTGGCTGGTGCAACTTCCCAAATAAGTGAAGCGGTCAACGTGCTCTGTCACTTCCCTCCCTATTTCTAAACTGGGAATCAGTGTAGTCCAGTTCTGTAGCCTCATCATCTTACATTTGACAGCATGAGCGAATCGTATACCAAACATTCGTGGATTGCAACTCAAGGTGTTCATCAAAAGAGTCTGCATTTTATCAGCATCCTTGCCTGGTTATAGCCTGGTATATGAAAAATTTACTCATTATAATTGAGTTGAAACAATGGCATAACAAGATTTTATTTTTAATCATGAGCAGTAGACTTCAGTTGGGGAAACCATTGAAAGCCAGCAAGAAGGAATAGTGGACAGTTCCGGGATTCAAACTCAAGGCCATCCGGGTTACAACACGAACTTGTAGACCATTCAGCCATTAGGACTCACTCAAATAGCCTTTGAATTTCAACCTCAGCCAAATTCCCTATATCTATTAAACGGAACCGCTAACCAATGTTGTGAACGAGTAACTATTCTCTTATCTGACTTGGCGGCCGCCCCTCTGGTGACGACTTCTCACCTATATCTCCAGATAACTTCTTAACGTTAGTGAGCATCAGATTATTTAGATCACAAGGTGACATCCAGTGGTTGTCTAACTTGATGACAGATCAGTTTTAAATCTACAACCAATCAAATCCCTACAGACCAACACTTCAATATATATACAACAAGAACAAGTGATACTGTTATTATTCTTTTGTGTTTTGAGTGGAGCATATACCTTGAACACCACATCTCCGCTTTGTCTTGCTCTCTCTCTCTCTCTCTCTACAGTCACCTTTACAGTCACCTTTACCTGAATTCACGTTTGTCCATCATCTTTCATCTCCTTCACACACGATCTCTCACCTGTCACCCTTGAACACAAGCTCAACTCGTCGTTTCCTGTTCGAGTTTCACTCAAACGATAGTCTGGCACGCCATGCGTAATAACAGAAGACGAGGGTCAGGCAACAGATCGTTTATTGAAGAAATCAACAGATATTTATAGATTTTTATGTACATTATTATAGGTTATTGTAAGCAAACAAACACATTGTCTTCTAATTGGTGGTTTCTCGCCGTTTATTGAAGTTCAGTTCATCTATCTGCAAATTGTATCCGCCTACGCTAAGTCCGCTTTGATTGGTTGTTGAGTTAGTCTTTGTTCTTGTTTTTTTCCTCACGATCATTATTTAGGACGCAAACATTGACGTAAATTACTGTCTGCCAATTTTTTTCTAGCAGCCAGCTCTCACCACAATGTCACCCGATGGTCTCTTCAACGTGTTTCTGATCCATCTTGAATTTCTTCGGGATATTCATTCATTCATTCCCAGAGAGTTGTTTGTTGCTAATTCTTTCTAGCTGGCTATTTGATCCTCATTATGTGGAGTAAAGAAAGCTGTTGATGAAACTCTGCAGTAGGTCTGTTCGAAACACTTTTGGTGAGGTGTTCACCACCATGTCTGTAAACCACACTGTGACTGACTTTGACTGTAATGTTGAAAATCTTAATATACCAGACTGATTCCAGAGTTATAAATGTTTTTGCCTTACCTCTTTCCCAATCCTGACTTCGACATCCTTACCCGTGCTACTTGTAGTTGAAACGATGATGCGTAAATGTAAGTGTGAAAAAAGTAGACAGTTCATTTTATAAAAGATTGGCGTATTTGTAGACGGAGAAGATACAAGCTGCACAGGTATTGTGTAGCATAACCAATTATGATCAAAAAAGAGATTCTATGGATTGTAAGAAGAAGAATATTCTTGATTCTATAGGTACTTACTTCACATATAAATGGCGATATTCATGTAGTCCTGTGGAAAGTTATTCAAGTAATTAGTGAAAATCGGTCAAATATCACAAAGACATTGATGAAATTAGTCGAAAAAGAAAATAATCAATAAATATATGTGTTGTGTATCAGAACACTTTACAAAAACAAAATGGAACTTAATCTGGACTAGTTAGTGGTGAGAGGGACAGTAGTGACTACGCAGATGGTAACAGTGTGTAGTGAGAGCTGTCTGCGAACAAGCCAGAATTGTAAACAACAATTGACGTCAATGTTTTTACTTCCCGAATCGGAGTCATGAGAGAAAAAAACAAGAACAAAGCCTAACCTTGAGGAACTCAACAACCAATCACATCAGACTTAGCGTGGGCGGGTACGATTAGTAGATATATATCAACGGACTGTCTAAGAAACGGCAGCAAACAGATGACAGAATAACCTTCAGCAGGAATACAACCAATCAGAAGACATCGCTTCTCTGCTAACAATAACACTAATAATAATGTACATAAAAATCTGTAAATATTTGTTAATTTTCTGAATAAACGATCTGTTTTCTGGCCACTGTCTCTTCTGTCGTTACAACAGTATCGTTTAGCACATATATACAGAATTCAGATGGTTGAAACTATAGCGATTTGAAGTACATGCGAAGTGCTTTATCTATTCACTCTAACTTAAAAGATATTCCCCTGTGTTGATCTGGTATCCTGTCCTGCCCTATTCCTCTTCATTTCTTGTGTTCAAAGTGAAACATAGAACTTTAAGCTGTAGATTCGAAGTTCCAGTTGCAGACTAGCATTCAGTTTTAAGTGAATGAGATTGCTAGCCTCACACCTATTCTTCCTGCTTTTCCGAACGTACTGTTGGTTAGTAAACTAAGTGAAGCTTCGAAATGTATCATCCAGGAATTGAACCTATACCACATATGTGAATGGTGAACATTATGCTATTGAACCGTTGTCGCAAATTTATCAAGGGATCTAATTTTATAGAGAAAATGTAAATAGAATCTGTTTTTATGCATCGTTTATTTGAGTGCATTAGCACTGGCTTCATTTACTAACTCCTGTGATTTAGGGAATATTTTTTGTTGACTTGGAATATGTCGATGATATATAGACCTCCTAGGTGAAGACGCTGACAAAATGCAGAGATTACTGATGAACTCCTTGAAAAGAAATCATTGAATGTTTTAGAATGTGACTTTTTTCCTTTCAGATGTGAGATGGTTGTACATGACTGGACTATGTCGACTCATTTCTAGCTTAAAGATAAGGATTGAAGTGGTGACTGAGCGTGTTGACCACTTCGCTTCACTCCATGATCAACTTGTAAAAACAAATCTATTTCTTACAAATCAACTCTGGAAAATTAATCTGATGCTCTCTAGTGACTGACTCGCTACAGGACGGTATTTCGTGGAGTTGTAGTGAGAAGTCGTCGTGACCAGTGACGTCCATCCAGTCAAGTGTGTGTGTGTGAGGATCGATGTCCCACGTATGGCATTAGTTGATGGTCGCGCTAAATCACGAATTCGTAGAATTTATAATTCATGAGCTGGCTGTTGAATCGGACCAGGCGCCATTGGCTGAATGGTATACGAGGCAGCCTGCCTTTGCACCGATGTACAGTAGTTCGAGTTACCACACTCCCTCTTTGTGGCACACAAAGCAAGAGAAGAAGAAAGTAAAAAGAAATGCAAAATAGAGACAGTAACCAGAGATATGAGGCAAAAGAATAGTGACATGGAAGAAGAATATAGTTTCATTGGGTATTATAAGTCACAAAGAGTGAATACATCTCCCCCAGCCATTGAGGAGGAAGATTTTGAGCCATATCACCAATTGTCTCCAGCCTCCATTGGTCGTTACCGTCCCGAGGACTCTAACCAGGAAGGAAGTCTACATCTCCCCTGTGTGACTGTCTTAAACTAGCTGTTGTGGATTCCATTGACTGATGAAGTCATGTTTTAGTTTGACCGCCACTAGCTGGCTGTTTTACAGCCTGACCATATGTCAGCTAACATTGCCCGTTGTCGAGGAAGGCTATCGATGGCTAGACATGCATACATCACACATCATGTCCCAACTATCTCAGTCAATGTAGCTTCACAGCTTCGTTGATTAATTCACAAACTAGGCTGATGGAACAGCTATCCAGTACTCCCTACGGCTGGTTTTCAATGGTTCTCTAACTGATATCAATCCATGGTTAGACTCATAAAAATTTAAAAAAAACTATTCCTTACAAATCAACTATTGAAAGTTTGTTTTTTCTCTGCTACTATTTTCTTGTTCTTGTTCTTCCCCTCCAGATTCTAACAGCAATTGAATCAGTTGCTGAATTACGTCCAATAGGCGTAAACAATACGGACGATGATGATGATGATGATGACAGTGATTCAGATACAGATTCAAGCAGTAACAACAGCAGTTCTAGTGATTCAAACTATAATAACACCGCCGCCGCCACCACCAACAACAACAACAGCAACCGCGCCAACGATGATGATGACGATGGCGACAACAATAATCACGTTAATGATAATTCTTGCAATGCTTTTGAATTTATTCAATCTGCTGTAGTTATGCTTGATGATCATTTTAATCTTCCAGTGAACAGACGAGGGACGACGACGACGACAAGGAGAAGGAGGAGCAGAAGAAGAAGAACACGAAGAAGAAATTACGATGATGATGATAATAATAATACTAACAATAATAATAGTAATATAGAACAAAGTGAAGAAACATTAGCTACTAGAGATCGTGAAGAAGGCTCAGGTGAACATAGTTCATCAGATGGTGATGATGACAATAATAATAATAGTAATAGTAATAATATTGCATCAAGAATATCCAGCTTTTTAGCTAATGAATTTAATTGCTCCTCAGATTCAGAGAGTACCTTCTCGTCATCATCCTCATCGTCGTCAAGCCCGTCAACATCAAATCGTTCATCACTATCCAGTAGTATGCTTACTGGTGTATCACTTTTAAGGCGAAAATTCTCATAACATGCGTGTCTGTGTGTGTGTGTGTGTGTGTGAATGTGAGAAATGAAAAGAGAGTCGGAAAGAATCTGAATTATACGGTTTTGTGATGATTATTATTAGTAGTAGTAGTATTATTATTTTTGTGGTCTTTACCTGTTCTGTCTGAAGTTTTGTAATGCATTTTGTTTGTTTCTATTATTATTATTATTATTATTATTGGCAAGAATTCATCTCATTTTTATTCTACGGTTTCTTTTTTGTCTTTGGCGCATGTACAATTTGTGTGTGTGGGCGCGCGCGCGCTCCTTCACAGAGACACACACACAGTGACAATATTTCATGTATTCTTCCCTGGTTTGAGTAAATATCACCGCTAATCACATGAAATGGTCAGTTAGTTAGTTAGCTGGCTAGTTATCATTATTCCCACTACCAAGAATGATTAGGCAACTGAATATTATTATTATTATCACTATTACTATTACTAACCTTTGTAAATTATTCCATTTAATTCCATTATAACCATGTTAAAATTTGCACACTTCTTCGTCATGAATTCATTCTGTGTGTGTGCGTGCGTGTGGGTGTATGTGTACACGTTTCGTCGTCAGTGGAGTAAACTTAACGCCAAACACATTAGTACATATATATATATATATATATATATATGTTCCAGGATTCGATCCCCTGTCGACAAACACCTGATATCAGTTGCCAATCCGCGAAATTTGAAGATATAATCAAAACTAATCTTTTTTTAAAACATAAATAAATAAATATGTGTATATTACCACTTTTACATAAAACCGATAGAGGAGGACACTTTTTAAACCTATTGAAGTGGGTGGGTAGGTGCGTGGGGATTTGTTTGTGTTGGCGTTTGTTTGTTTGTTTTGTTTTTTCATATAACTAATTGTCTCTCGCGCGCGCTCGCATTAATTTATTTTATTTTGCTTGCTTGTTTGTTTATCTTTTTGTATTTCATAAAAATACCATTTCATGATGATATTATTGATTTTTTTCTCGCCTTAAATTTTATTTTATTCCCTTTGCGTCCTTTTGAGTGGAGGCCTTCAGTAGCGCACATTGGTATTCTTATCTAATTATGCAGTAGAGTGTTTGATCGTTGGTAGCACACTCTTCAATCTATCTTGTCTTCTTTTCGGATTTACAGTCGACTAGATAAGGTAAAGGTGTACATATATATATGTATATATGTGCACCGGTTGGGAGTCGAACTCTGGATCATATGAGGCTTGAGTGGCACGCGTGAGCATTCTACTGTTGAAACCATCGATTGACTCACGGAGGTTAAAGATTATATGATAAAAAAAATAATAAATAATGATAGTAGCGATAGTAGTAATAATAATGTTAATATTAATGACGACACCAACAATAAGGAATCTAAATTATCAGTAGTAATTCCATACAGGGAAGGAACCTCAGAAACCACCTTACGCTGAATTCTTAACAAGGCGCGCAGGAATAAAAGAGGCTGGCATTCAAACCACCCACAAACTCAATTACAAACAAGCTTTGTCTGTTAAAGGGTCAATCCTGTGGAGCCTATAAAACAAAACAATTTGGTTTATCTAATACCCTGGCTTCAATGATTGTCGGGTCAAATACTTAGGTCAAAGTAGTAGAACAGGGGCAGTCAGTCAGACTAGACGAGCATAAAAGCCTAGCAGCAACATCTAGATTAGTTGATCCGAATAAGATAATAAGAGGTGTGGAGAATAGTTCAGCCGTAGATAGCACTCACTACATGCAGTTACACACACACACACAACCATACAGTAGGATGGATGAGATAAGCTGACAGTTTTAAAATCTAATGTAACAGTAGGGTGGAGGGAGCGATTGATAATGAAAGCTTATCGGAAGTTTATCGAATCAGGTGAATGAAAATATACGTGTCATAGGAATGATTCAACACTTGTCCAATTGGACATCTGGAAAATTCTACTACCCCAACGACAAATAAGACAGGACAAAAGAAAACTATAAAACTCAAGTTTTAAAGTCGTCTGATTATAAGTGATGATATGATTATGAACAATCAATTTTGTTTGAAACGTTATCCAGTAAATAATACTGTTCCACTGACTGTGTGATACATCTAATAAACAAACTAATATGGAGTTATATGATCGGTTTATAACGAGTTGAATGAAAATCCATAAGTAACAACCATTTTTCTTGAATTTAAAACAATCTTGCGTAATCAAAAGGGTTGACAACTAGTCAGCTGAGTGATGAATACTCTTTTGATTTTGGTTGATACGGAACAAGAGAACAAAATATTCAAAATGAGTTACAGAAAATTATAAAACGCGCGGCATAGAGGCTTACTGCAGGCTTATTCAGGGAAGATAAAGAAAAAGACAAGCTCCAGGCAACTGATCGTTTATTAAGAAAATCAACAGATATTTATAGATTTTTATTATGTACATTATTGTCAGCGGAGAAGCAACGTCTTCTGATTGGTTGCGTTTCTTTCTAAAATCTCTTTCTGTACTGCTTGTGACCGTTTCTTAGAAAGTTAAGCCCATATATCTACAAATTGTATTTGCACGTATTAAGTCTTCTGTGACTGGTTGGTGAGTTCCTCAAGGTTAAGCCTTGTTATTGTTTTTTCCTTCATGATCCGATCCCGGGACGTAAATATTGGTGTAAAAATTGTCGTCTACAATTTTGGCTTTTTCGCAACCACCAGCTCGTACCACACTAAAGCTATGGTAATAAGAAGAGGATAGACAAAATGTTTATGAACACAAAGTACGGGTTTCTCCTTAAGGAGAATGCTAAGGCTTCAGCTGAATGAAGAAGATATAGGTGAAACGCTATCGAATGACTTCGTTGTGTGTGTGTGTGTATGTGTACTTTATCCATGACTTTGAAAGAAGTCTCTCTACCGACGCTCAATAACCAGAAGTAATAATATGCTCCAAAATTTGACTGTGTATTGTTCTGCAGCACTGGGTGACGCGAGTTCGACTCTCAGAAGGGACATGAATTCCTTCAGGGTTGTAGATACGCCTTGCTGTGACTAGTAGTGAGTACCAACTAGCACGAGACCTAGGTTTAGTCAAGGGGTTTCTTGTGGCTAATTGCCTCCAACCATCTAATACCAACAATTTACAGTGCAGTGTGTACCGTAATGGCGAGCTGCCACTTAGGTGACATGGTGACCAGAGTGCAAACTTGACTGACTGATAAAATTCAGTCTGCACCAAAGGTAGGATTAGATACACACACACACACTACACTAGTTACTGTTCTACCTTGTCCTTTAGACAACCATGCTAGTAAGTAAGTATCCATCAATACATCCAGATAATATCCTACTGGTATGGCCTATCTACGTAGGTGGTAGCCCTCTACAGGGACAGGTGAATTTGGTTAGTATACATTGAAGTTGCCAACAGTAGGATCGTATTTTTCACGTTTTGTTGAATAAAAGCATGTGCGTTGTGGTAAAACTGATCATGTATTTATATAAGTATATATATTTAAAAACATCCTAAGCATAATTGTACAGCTTTGAAGTGAAATTAGGAAAAGAGGAGATTTATGTCACTGACACTTTTATATGGGTGTTCTGAATTACTTGATGAAATGGGAATATTTCATACCGTAAAGAAAGAAAAACAAAGGTTTGATTATGTAATGATAACATAAATAAAAGAGAATATAAGTCATCTACTGTTATAACATGTAAGGAAGGAGAGAACATCCGAGACGAGCCCCTACGTAGGATTCTTAGTAAAGCAGGATTTAAGGTGGCATTTAAACCTACAAACTCATTCAGGGACAAGCTGTGTAGGTTAAAGGACCCAGTTGACGCAATTAGACAAACTAATATAATTTACAAAATGCCTTGCAATGACTGTGAGTTAGGTCAAACTAGTAGGTAGGGGGTAGTCAGATTGTCGGAACATAAGAACTTAGCTAAGGTAAGAATGATTGACTCCGCGAAGATAAGTAATTTAGAAAAAAGCTCAGCTATAGCACTACACGCATTAACACACAATAAGGCGGGTGGGACAGAATCAAAATTATAAAAAGTAATATAGATAGACGGCAAGAGAGATTGATTACTGAATCCTGTCTGGTTAATTGAGTGTACACCCAACACATGCAACAGAAATGACTCAATGCAAATACCAGAAATATAGAAGATATTATTACCAGCAGTCAGTCAAATCAGAGGAGGATAATAAATAATCTTAATTCTATTTCAATTCAAGCATATCACAACATTCTAGCAAGTTACTTAATTGTGACTATAAAAACACTCGTCTTATTTCCCATCCGATTGTAATTGATCAATAACAACATTCAGCTGTCCAGTACTCCCAGGTTTTCCAATGGTTCTCTAACCAATGTCAGCTCATGATGAAATCATGTAACCAATCAATGAAATCCCTAAAAACCAATACTTGAATATCAATGAGATGTTCACTAGCGACTTGCCCTATTTAGGTATGTAGTTAGTTCCCTGGGGTTCTAGTGGAAAGTCGTGGACAGTAGGGTGCAGCAGGTCGGGTATGAGGACAAATACTCGCCACCGAAGACATTGGCTGGCGGTCGCGCTATGTCGTGAATTGGCAGAAGTTAGAATCCAAGGACCATTGGATCGGGTTCCAGTGGCTTAATGGTCTACGAGCTAGCTCGCCTTGTAACCGGAAGGTCCTGGGTTCGAATCCCAGTGGGTGCGTACTGCTGAAGAGTCCCAAACTAGGACGAAACTGCTGTCCCGTACTCCCTGTTGGTTTTCCAATGGTTCTCTAACTAATGTCAGCTCATGGTGAAATCCTGAAACATTCATATTATTATTATTTCTGAATGTACATTATTCCATATTGATTTTTATGCAAATATCTAATCGTCAATTCCACAAATGTATATAAATGAAGGAAAAACGTTGTGTGAGTGAGTGACTTGATATGATTATGAGTGGCAATAGCTGGTGCTGGAAACGTAGTCATCAGTTAATATTACTGTATAACCAC